TCTCTGCCCCCCCCCTGGAGCCCTACCCGGTTGTCTTCAACCAGCGCCCGCAGCCGGGGTGGCAGGTCAGCAACCTCGGATACGCTAAAGTCCAGAACAGGGCCCGGGGCCCGCTCCTGGGCAGCTACCTCGGCGCGGGCTAGGCACTGGTGAATCCGTTGGGACGAGGATTTGGGGGAAGGAGGGGGAAAGGGTTTAGCAGTGTGCTTAGCCGCGTGGTGCAAAGGTGTGACACTAGCCGCAGGAAAGGGTCAGGATAGGGTCATAGGTCGCGCCATGTCACGCTTACCCGCTCCATGTCACGCTTCTCCTCGCGAACCTTTTCTAGCTCCCTCTTTTGATCTGCTGCCAAGCATTCCATGGAAGCGATGTAATCCTGGAGGTCGTGCAGAAGGCCAAGGCTGCGTATCTGGGCAATGTGCTGGCTTTTTCCCATTTTGCCTGGAGTCCTAGGGCCAGATGCTCCATTTGGCTGGTAAGCTACTAAAGTTGAGCCCGGCCTCAACGGCGACTGATTGATAGGCCGCGACTCGACGGGCAACATGAGGCCTGGCAAATCGGTCTCTGTGCTCGAGGGATCTACTTGAAAGTCCGCAGGTAAGGGCTCCATGCGAATTAGGTCCGTTTGTTGACCTTAGTTCGCTTATGTGCTCTCGCTTGACAATTCAAGTGCATGGAGTGGAATTGGTCTTCGAGTCGTAAGTAATATGCTAACGTATGCACAGTTTTGCATGCTACAAGAATGTCGTTACGTGACATAGGTTGCTTGCCATCCTTCAGGTCTGCAGCCGATGTGTACTACTTCGAACTACGCAATTTCCTGTCACACGACCGAGCCTAAAAGCGAGGTCATTACCAAAAGGAAACATAAAGCCGTATCCAATTTTTAATTCCTCTTTGTTTCATGACAAACCTCTGTATATATGTCGACAGTTGAGTCCGCAGCGATAGATACGTCAGTTGCCGAACGTTGGATAGCCACGATAGCATACATGTCTTATCATTTTAACATGCATAAAGGCTTCTACACACTGTTCTTTACTGCCTCTCCTATGCCTCCTCACACCTTCGCCCAATCCTCCCGACGCAAGAAAGAAATCCCCTGGGCGAATGCCATACACGTGAACCACGGCAGCGAAAAATAAGCCACACCACAAACCCTTGCACATCGCACCGCGCCCAAACCGTCACGGCAATCTGCAAAAGCGCAGAGTGACCAGCGTTGCTGACTTTTCCCAAATCCTTTGGCCTATCAGAAGACCCAAACAACATCCCAAACAAGCCATCCGTGGCATGAGAGTCCGTGCGATGAGAGTCCAGCGAGACAGGCACGAACAGGGAGACTCCCGTGCAAAATTCGCCTCGACGACACGCACCTCCGCGGGTGTCCCCGTCCCTCTGACCGCCTGGCCCAGATTTCAGGTCGTGGAAGAAGCGGACGGGCAGCAGTTCCCCAAGGATTTCCACGCTGCCGTGCTGCAACCTCTTCCTCGCTTCCAAGGCTTTTACTGCTGACATGTTTGACAGATCCTCAGAACCGGGAACGTATTGGAAACCTTCAAAAAAAAACACCCGTGACGAAATCCACTTACAGTTTGTCGTGTTTTCGAAAGCAGCGAAGAACGGCGGTACAGTAGGTTGTGGTGGAGGAGCTCACCACCAGGCCGCATGCACCATGCATGGTGCAGGCGCGCAACGCACATCCCGCACATCATGACCGTCCGCAACGCCAAGTCTTAAATCCTGGAACTGAATTCCTGCAACTCACATGCGCATGTGTGCACCTAAACTACTGAAAATAGCGTTTCGGGAACAATCGTACAAGGCACGTGGACTCGCGACGGCTTGTCGTACCCAGCATTCCACAACAGTTTATAAACGGAGCCAGCCAGCCAGCCCAAAATATGCGGGGGACGACCGAAGGGTGGGGAAACAGGACCTTTAGGCTGCTCCAACCCCCACTTGAGAAGCCTGCTGCAGCGGTGCTGCTGCCGTACTGCTGCCGTACTGCGTGCCACATCCCAAGGGCTAAGAAGAAGAAAAGCTGTAAAGGCCAGGTGGTTCCCGTCCGCTACCAAACCGTTAAACTGTTGCGATGTCAAACCGTTGCTAACGACCAACCTCCAACGACCTCTTAACAGACGACGTCCCCGGTGATGTATTGGGCTTTGGGGAAAAAGCCATCGCGCACCAACAAGCCACATAATGCCGTACAAATAATCTACATTAAATAAAATGCAAGCCTTGACGACGGTGAATAACAGGTACAGATACCAACTACCGACACACGTGTACGACATACTCGATGTCCCCACACCGTGCAAACAAAAAGATCAAGTGCTCAGATATACATATCCATACACAAACACAGAGACAAACAAAGGGGAGGGAAACACAAATGCACATAAATAGCACACTCTTTTTTTCAAAGAACAAAGAATCAAGGTATTGTACGACATATGATACACATGATGTCGTACAGCACGGCAAAGCAAGACCACGCGTGCCCATCTGCATACCATGGCCTTAGTCCTGCGACGCATATTTACGCAAGCCACGCAAATCCGTTCCTGAAGTCGTGTGGCGGCCAAAAGCCCAGCCCGTGCTACTACTACTACTACTACTACTACTACTACTACTACTACTACTACTACTACTGCAGCCGCTCTGGATGCTACTGGTGCTGGTCATGCTGCGACAGCGACGGGGGCTTTGGCGGGGAAAGACACGAACCACTTTGGCGGGGACGGGAAAGGTGCGGCGGTGGGCGGTGAAAGGAATTCTCGAGCCGCGTTTCCGTATGGCTCTGCCGCTGCCCCCTCCGCCCCCTCTGCTCCCTTATGCTGCTCCTCCTGCTCCTGCTGGTTACGGAGCAGTCTTTTCTTGCGCCAGCAGGTGCTGGTCGTGGTGGTGGTGGTGATGGTGGTGCTGCTGCCGGGGCAGTTCGTGTTGGTGGCGGTGGTCTTCTTTGTGGTGATGAGTGATGACGGCGCCATCACGTCCCGTACGGCGGTGTTCCCGGCGTCACGTGACGGCAGTAGCGGCGGCGGCGGTGGTGCTGACGCCGCTGCCGTCAACCCCATAAACGCCTGAGCTATCCGGATCCGCGCCGTCCCACACCAGACCAAAGCTTGGACCGTGTCCGAGGCTGGCCTCCTGGCGGCGGAGGTCGGTGTCGGCGGCGGTGCTGGCTGCCGCAGGGTTACGCTGTTCCGCTCCGGCGACGTGATCTCCCCTGTCGGATCCGAAACCATTGTCGTACACGTACGAGTTGACATCACTGCCGCCGCCGCCAACGTGAATGCCAGCGCTGACGCTAGCCTGTGGGTCGGCCGCCAGCTCGTTTTCTTCTTCAGCGTCGGCGCCGCTACCGCCAGCCGCAAGTGTAAGCGGCGCCGCAAACGGACTCTCACCGCTGCCGGTGCTCATGGCGCCAGCGTCCTCGCCGTCCAAACCGTCGTTGCCGTACACTTCTTCGGCCACGCCGTCGGCGCCGTCAGCAGACCAGGACCAGCTGCCGCCGTCGTTGCCGTTGGCAATTCCGCTACCGCTGCGGCGGTGACGACTACATACATGTGTCGTACCGCCGCCGCTGCCGTCGCGGCCATTGTCGCAACCGACGGCGCCAAAGCCACCGGGACAGCGGCGGCGGCTGCGGCCTGCGCGCTCCCGTGCCGCCGCCAGCGCCAAAGCCTCCACCTCCTCCACCTGCACTACCCCGCTGCTCGCGCCTGCGCCAAGGCCACCTGCCCCGCCATTAGCGCCGCCACCTGGCACGTCGCCAACGCGAGCTATAACGCCTACAGATGTTGTTCGTACGGAACCTTCCGGCCTCGAGTCCGCCACCTCCGCCGTTTCCGGAGACTCTACTCTGGATGCTACTGCTCCCGCTCCCCCTGCGGCTGCTGCAGCTCCTGAAACTGCCGTACAGGCGACGGCAGCGTCGCCGCTGTGCTCCCCGCCCGCTCCAGATCCCGCACCGGCGGCGGTAGCTCCGATGGTTTCGGATCGAGGTTGTGATCGTCCAAATGAGGCGGCGGCGGCGGCGGCAAGCGCCTCCGCCGCAGACGCTACGGCCTCCGCCGCCGCGCTACAACGGGGTGTGGCTGTAGTGGTACCAACGGCGGCGGCGGCGGCTGCCGCCGCTTTCGCCGCTGCTTCCGTGGAGAGCTCCTCCCGCAGCCGTTGTGCCAGTCGCCGCCGAGCCTCTACACGGTCCTACATCAGTAGGCGTTACGGTAGGCGTTATAATTAACGAATCATTCTTCGTCCGAATTGGATCAATTCACGTTGTAATAAAAGATACTGCCGATGTAACTTAGAAAGTGACCTTTCGCCCGTGCCAAGGGAAAGGGTTGGGAGTCATTTCAATCCTCGTGTACAGACTTGTCGTACAGATACGACAAGACAAGATCTCAAGACAAGATCTCCCTCTCTTTTCCCCCCTTTCTCCCAACAGCCGCGCACACACCTGCACCCAGACTTCGATCATGTGCCGCAGATTCAAATTGGGAGCCAGGCGGTGGCGTTTGAGAGGTACGTGGGTAACTGGATCCACCCGACGATGGTCGAGCCACTGTACGATAGCTGGTCGCTCGTACGTCACCCCCGAAGAGGCCTGGGCCGGCTCCCGCATCAGCGATTGCGTGATGGGGCACCTGGGGGGAAAGGGCGGGAGGGCGTGTACGTGTGTTTTTCCGAATGATACACACATGCACGTGTGCGCGGGCGTGTGTGTGTGCGTGTGTGTGTGCATGCGTGCTTATGTTCAGCGGTCGGGGGAGGAGGGGTAGGTGGCCGGGGAGTGAAACGGGGGGAGGGCATGGGATTGCCCTCGGCAAGGGCAGGGGGCAGGGCCAGGGGGCAGGACGGGGGGGGGAAAGACGAACCACAAACGAGTGAAGCTGCTGCCAGGGCCAGGAGGGGGGGGGAGGGGGGAGGGCGAGTGGCGATTAGAGTTGACTGATTGCGGGGCTTGGGGGGAAGGGGGAAAATGGAGTGTTGTGTGCGGTGCGAGGAAGCGAGGTAAAGGAGACCCGGAGGAGGAGGACAGGGAAGTTTTTTGTGCTGAGCGAAGTAAAATGAGGGGTGGGGGGAAGAAGATGAAGTAGAGGGTTGCGGCGGGTTAGGGAGACAAAGGCAACTCAGACGACGACCTAGAGGTTCTCAGTGCTCTACCGGGAAGTAAAGAGCATTTCACCATTTCACCTGGGATCAAATAGGGAGGACTAAGATCGACCCACGGGTCCAAAACGAACAGATTTAAACGAACGACCGAGCGACGGACCCACGGGTCGCTCACTCACTCACTCACCGAAATGCCTCCGGTGCGTTGGGCCAGTCATCGAGCCAGGCGGGTACGTCCAGGGCGGGCGGCCAGTGAACCTGCGCCGCCGCCGCCGCCGCCGCCGCCACCGACGTGCCACCGCTATGAACCCTCCCGCCGCCGCGTCCGCCGCCGCCGCCGTCACCGCCACCACCGCTGCCAAGCCCCCCACGATCCCCGTCGCGGATGCCTCCAGATCCAGGCCGGCGACCTTGCATCAGGCCCAAAACATCAGCGGCGGCAGCGGCGCTGCCACGACGGGTCCGACGGGCACCGCCGCCGTCAACGCCGCCGGCGCCTGCGGGTGCCCTGCCTCCGCCAGCTAGCTGACGGGCCTGAGTGTCGCGTGTGGGGGGGTGTCGCACACCCCCCAAGGCGAGGACGAGGGAAAACAGGGTTTTCGCAGCACGCGACCGGCGTGGGGACTTGTACTGTCTGAGGACTGTTCGAAATTCCCTAGAGGACGACTGACATAACTACAGACGAGGACACACATACTCGAGACACAGGACCCGTACCTGGATCTCTACCTATTCTTAGTCCTCTTCCCGAAACCAGAGTCAGAGCGACCACTACCCCAAAACCGGCATAAATCCAAATCGGAAAAAACCAAATTCGACAAACCTAAATCGCTACCCACCACCTGCGGCATGCCCGCCACGCTCAGGACGGCCACCATCACAGTGGGCAGCACCACGAGGTGCAGCCACACGACCACCGTCGCCGCGCCGTGGCCCAGCAACGGCAGCCAGGTGTTGAGCAACCCCGTCACAACCGCCGCCGCCAAGCCGACGGCGACGTGTACCGCCGCCAAGCCGTACACACGCTGCGACAGCGTAAGGCCCGGCGCCAGCACCACGGAAGCCGTGGCGCGCCACTCCGCCAGTGTACGGCAAGTGGCGATGACGCAGATGTACAGCGCCATCCAAGGATTGTCGGGTGCGGCCTGTACGCATGAGCAGCAGGGAGGATACAGGCATGAACGTGTTAGGACGGGAGCGTCGCCTACAAGTACGTGAGTATGTATGTATACATATATGTGTTGAGGGGTGCCGTACTTCCATGCCTGCTTTCCCGTGCCGCCTGAAGACCGTGTCAAGTGGATGCATAATGCCGAAGTCCGACAGACAGACAAACAGACAGACGTGCATTTTTGATGAATGTAAATCTTATTCACTGATCATGCCCCCCTCCCCCCTGCCACCCCAGTTCCGCTCGACACCTGCATCGCCTCCAGCGCCACGAGCATGGTCGGACACCACAGCCACATCAGCCAAAACAGTACGGCGCCCAGCGGCGCCCGCATCCAGGCCCGCAGAAAATTTGAAGATCCATCGCACCCGCCGCTGCCGCCGGGGGAATATCCGCCCATACGCCCTCCACCTCCTCCGCCGCCGCCGCCACCGATGAGCGCACTGGCATGCCGGGGCAGCCAGGGGCCGGTCAGGCCGCCACCGCCGCCGCCATGGCCGCCAGCTGCCCAGGTGGCTGGATGGCGGCACGCGGCATCGCCGGCGGCGGCGGCGGCGATGGTGAGCGGGCCTGTGGACGCCTGCCCCTCCGCGTAGGCAGCTGCGCGACTCAGCATGAGGCGCAGATCTGCCGCCTTCCAGGGCTGAGCACGATGCCCGAGGATATATAATGAGGGTATGGAGGAGGGGAGAGGGAGGGGAGAGGGAGGGGAGGGGAGAGGGAGAGGGAGGGGAGAGGGAGGGGAGAGGGAGGGGAGAGGGAGGGGAGAGGGAGGGGAGAGGGAGGGGAGAGGATTGAGACAAAGAAGGGCCGGTATCGGGAAAGATCGTGTCTGTGTGGTGAGGGGGAGGAAGAGTCGTACGTCGGTTCTCACGAAATCACACACGCGCGCGCGCAGGCCAGTGCGATCTAGGCACGTGTGTGTTTGTATGGCGGGGAGAGGGAAAACCGGGCGGCACCCGTTTGCTATTGAGTTGGGACAATACGCAAAGCCGTGTCAGGCTAACAGCCACCACCAAAAACGCAAACCGCCACGAGTCAACACTCCCGTACAATACACTGCCGTACGATGTCGTACCTCTAAGACGAGCTCCCGATGTAGTTGCTGTACATGCCAATCCAAGGTCACCACACGCGCCGCGAACAGCCGCCCTGACGCCGCAGCAGCCTCCGCCTCCGCCGCGTCTGTCTCTGATCCTGGTGGCGCTGTAACCCCCTCCGCGACCGCCACCGCCGCCGCGGTAGTGGCGGCGGCGATTCGCCGCCAGAGCAGCGTCACCCGTGTGAAGCACAGCAGCCCGGAGTACTCCAGTCCCAGGCGTTGGTAGATACCCGCCAGGTAAGGGGCGATGAAGGGGTCTCCGACCTGGCGGCCAGCGCGCCGATGCACACATAGAATAAACCCACCGACCCACCGACCCGCCGACCCGGCTGACCCAGCTGAACCACCAGGTGGAAATAAGCAAGGAGTATCTTCAATGTTTAAACGACGCAAAGGAGGCGAAACGCGCTGGGAAATGCGGGTAGCTATTTGGGTTAAGTGGGCTGAGCTGGCGGTAAGTGGCGGAAGGCTGTTCTGTTGGTGAATGTGTGGTGCCGCAGAGGTGTGTGGTGCGGTAAGGAGGGGGGTGTTGACACACGAGATCATCTGTGTGTGTGTGTGTGTGCTCACCTGTCTGGAATCACGCTCCTTGACTCTGAGGACCGTATTCAGGATTTGAGACAGGAGCTCTTTATGGACTTGAAAAGTGGTGTCGTACGATACAGTCGTACGGCCTGCAGGCGGAGTTTCGTAGGCCAAACGGCGAGGGAGGGTTAAGAAACTTTGTACCGTCCCTAGCATTCGTAGATGTACATGGAATGTAACAGAAAAGCAATTGATTCGAGCTATATTGGTGAAGGGGAGCTGCAGGATGTCGGTGCAGGCCAGGCGGCATAAGCTCCATTGGTGCGTGACCTGACTTAGGATGGGGCCTTGGCGCCCCACCTTCGGGGGTCGACACGGCAACCCCACGGTAGGTTATGTTGCACATGCCGCCTGCGTCCTCCCATATGGTACTTTCGCCTCCTCCAGAAGCCCCGAGCTCAATATGATGGCTCCATAAGTCCGAGCAGTGAAGGTCGGCTGGAATGTACAGGGGCACCTCTGCTGCCACCAGCTGGAGAAAAAACGCAAGGATTGCGTATTTCATTGCCCAAATTTTGATTCTAGGTGGGAATCGGAATTTCAAGTTCACATGGCAGGGCACGAGCAACCAAAAAGGCCTTTGCACGCTTGCAACTTTGAATACTGCATGAAAACTCGAAAGTTCAAAATATCGCAAATAAAATCATTCTTCCGTGAAGTGTATCAGGAAGCTAGTTTTTCGCAATTTACATTGAACCACGATAAGGGGCAGAACAAGGAATACATCGTATGCTAAACTATTTGCTTGGCGTAAATCCTGCGGGCAGAACTGCGCCTGCTCATGCAATGGATGCAGTACGACCTTTTGTGACCGAGTATCGCAGGTATTGAGTTAGAGCCCTTGCGACCTCGTTATGATAACTGATATACGGAACATGGGACACTAATGGCGGTCCGATACTTCGCGGAGCGGACACCGTATTTTGTATTGGAGAGTCAAACGCCTTCCGCAGGCGATGAATCCTTCATCTTCGCAACAAGGGTTACCTTGAGAAACCTTGATACTGACGACTGAGTTCCACTCCTGCAGATCATCCATTCGCATGGACCCGACTCATTGTGCTGCCCAAACCAACATTCCAATAGCCGTGCAACTGCTCGTGATACTCACGGACTTAGGATTATTAGGAAATTCCGCTCTTGTTATGCAGCGGCATCACCATCTTACATCGTGGATTGTTCTTATCCCTTAACTTCCTCCACATTCCCCACAAAAATTTGCCTACCTGCAGCTACATACCACAATAATACCCCTCATCAGAGGAGACTTCTCCCCTGCTCTCATCAAATCTGGTACGATACAGAACGACAGGACGAGCGGCCACAAAATTACCACCACCGCTGCCCTGCGCTCAGATGCATGCTCAAAAGAGCGCTCACCCAACTGTCATCAACGCATTGCCCGCCGTTGCCCAACCGAGAGGGCCCAACTATCTGTACGGCACTTGTCCGTTCGCCGTAGATGTATCGGCGAAGCAACGGGAAACCCGACCGCGTAACGGCGACCCGACGACAGGACGGGACCGGGCCAAAACTGAACGAGGAGGCCGCTCCGAAGCCACGACATACAATACATGGATGCGCATGCGGCGCGCTGCGCTCATTTGTCGACATCTAATTCATGGTTATAAAACTCTGCTCATGCTCTGCGTCCTTGCCTACAGAAAAGCCCCGCAGCATAGGGTGAATGTGTGCCGCTATACATTTTCTTCACTTCTCAATTTCAATTGCCGTACAGTCCCCCCCTAGCGGACCGCCGTGCAATCTCGCCTCAAGGACCCAGAAAAGGATAACAGCGGGCGTGCTGCGCTGCCCACATACTGCAAGTACAGTGTATAGGGTAGTTGCTCAATAAGTACGTGGCGAGACCGCGCCCGTTCCGCAGCCGCATGCACGAGTACGTCCACCTGGATTTCGAAACTGCGTCAAACAAGAAAAGGGTCCTGATCTAGGAAAACTCCGAAATTCCACAGACCGACCCCATAGTCAAACGTTTCCTCAACGTCTCGCCTTCAATTACTTGACGCTAGCGCTGGTACCTGCCCGATCTGCTGCTGCCTGCCTACTCCTTCCATAACCAGCGCAATGGGGACGACGAGCCAGCCGCAAGAAAATAGCCCGTGTAAACCCCAATTAACGAAATTATTTTTGCAAATCACAGCATCAACCCGCCTACAAGACTCTCCCGAACTGTACAGCCTTCCGCCTTGTGTGCTCTCCAGGTCTCCGCGGCTTGTCGGGGATTCAGCGCTGCTCTGAGATAGATGAATGGTGAAAGGCTAGCCGCGCACTCCCCTTCAGCCCAGCAGGGTCACCTCTGCAAAGTTTCAAAGAGGAACTCGTCAATCGCGTCCTGAATGTTTGCCAGCGCCTCACCGTCCAGCCCCGGCAAACCGGACAATGCTATAACGAGATCATCGACGGCTGAAGAAATAGATTCCGCGATCGCATCCACAGGCACCGCTGGCACGAGAGACCCCAGGGACTCACGCTGGCTGAAGGCAGCCGCGAGGCCCGCGGCGAGCACCAGGCCCAAGAACGGAAGACGCAAACGATCCAGGAGATCTTGCACACCGTTTTGCACGGTCTCCACGGGTCCCTGGGGCGGTGGAGCCTGATAAATGCCGAACGAGGCGCGGATATCGCCGATAAGCAGGTCTGCGTTGGAGTTTGTGATCTTGCCGTATGCTAGAATATCAGCCGCCTGCAATTGAGGTTAAGGAAAGGGATGAATGCTAAGACGCCGATCAAAAGTGATGGTTGGCGCATAAAAGCAAGGTGGAGGTTGAGACCAAGATGAATTTTACATGCAACGCAATTTCTCGACGCATGAAGTTCAAAAGTGACATGTAATAGCTTCAGGGAGCCAAGATGCGTTTACTTGCCTGCTCCGTGAAACCCAATTCTTGAAGTGTCCGCTTAATCTGTTCCCTCTGGCGCTTAGTCGGCTGATTTAGCTCCTCAACAGCACCCTCTTCGACGAGGACAGGGCCATCACGGCGAAATAGCTGCATGCGTACAGTACGCACTGGCCGCGCAGCGAGGGTCGTGCTGCGAGAAGGCAGCGTGGGGCGCCGGCAAAACTGCTGAGATATCATCCTGATTGTGTCTATGTGAAATTCAAGGTTCACTTTGGGCGATTTGAGGCCCTGCCCACTTCGGCCCACACAACCGAAAAAGTTGATAGTAGGTTTCCTTGCTTAGCACAAGCTTCAAGATTTGGGTGTCCGCACAGGCCACACCGATTAAATGGTCCTATGCGCGGGACCAATTTCGGCTTTGGCCGGTGAGATTGCATGTCAATGAATAGGACCGCGTCGGATGAGGTTTGCCGTACATGAAATTGCACACAAACTTTCACCTTTGCCGCATCAAAGTCATAAGTTAAAAGCATAGGTAATGGTTGCCTTTAATTAGTTGATCACCCGCAATATTACGCAAACGAAAGCCAAACCATGACACCTCGAAGCATGCACCAAGAGTAATCATGCACCTCGAGGGTTCGGAAAATCCAGTAAATAATTTTATACACTGGACAAACAAAGCTTCCTGATATTTTATTCGTGCGGCCGCTCCCAAATGACCCGAGGATCACCTTGAAGCCAACTCCCACTTGGCCTTTTCACCACCGCTGCAACGTAGCCAGGTGTACTTCTATGTGACATCGGATGTGACTCCCAAACGGCAAATCAAACGCAAGCCTACTTAAAAACGAATGCAACGAGCAGACGCTTTGGCCGCCTGTTACAGGTTTCAGCCCGTCTGGCCTGGCGCAAATGTGATACTATGGCGCGCGGTCCCTCTCAGTCAAACGAGAAATCACCCCTTCCCTTCACTACTGGAATCAATTCCATGTGCCAACTTGCACTGCCATGCCCGGTTAACCGCAAGAGACACGACCTTAGACTGGTCTCCACTCCACACTGGTTATGGCCACTGCAAAGCGCATCACCCCCGGGTTAATATGCCAGTCGCGCTGCACAAACCGCCTCTGCGTGTCCCCGTATCTATGCCCATCTGAAGTCTGAGGCCTGTGCTAATCTCTGTACGGCATAGAGGCGTCCGTACCGATGCCCCGCACGACTGCATTTGCCCACCATGTTGGTTTCGGAGCCTGGTCCCGTTGGCCTGTAGTTAAAACAACGGCTAGCTGGTAGCTGGTAAGCGGATGGCGTGAGAATGTGTCCCGCATCACAGTTATCTGGGGAGCCCGCGCTGGGGATAGAATCAGTCCAAGGAGACCGAAGCCTGCAGCATGCGGGATGCAGCAGGATGCGGCAACCGCAAGTAGCGGCAGCGGTTGCCTTCAACAGGAGCGATAACTTCAGGGTTTCGGATTTATGCCGGTCATCAAGCCCTGCTGGGAACTTTTTTTACCAACGTTTTTTTCTTACGCACAGAAGCACCAGGTCACAATTCCCACGCAAGTTGCGCTTCTAGCAAGCGGCGCGATAAGCTCGTGTGCTGTTTTAATGAGCTCTGTGAGCCGTCGTGTCGCCGACTTGTCTGTGGAATGGCCATTCTGTCGTCACCGAGTCACCAAGTGGGTTGTGGAGGGTGAAACGCCAACACGTATACGTATATATCATGTACATCATAGCGTAAATCTGTTTTTTTTTATTTTTTAGCATCCATCCTTCCCGCTGCTGCCTGAGGCAAAATAACGACAGATAGGTGGTGTACTATGATGATGATGATGATGATGATGATGATGTAGAGTCCTGACCGCGTTTTAAATCGTCGGACCGGAATCCGCTCAGGAAGTTCATAGGTAAGGAGCAGATGACTTGAAAATACCGCCAGAAGCTGGGGTATTAAGATTTGTACCTGGAAGAAAACGTTACGATGCATTGCAAGTCGCTGGCGGAGCACATACCCCCCCAACGCAGCCCGCAATTCCCAACCGATGATGATTGCAATACTTTTAGCGATACGGGTGGTAGTGGATGACCGGTGATGCGGGCTCCGAGTCCTGCGCCGGTCCCGGCAGGTGGTAGGTGACTGCTGATGACGGCTATAGGAGGAGCATGTTAAAACCAGCAAAGCGCCGGACCCCAGCCGGGTCCTATTACTGTGGCTACCATCGCCTGGTATATGAGTGTCGATCATTTCCAACAGAGCGCTCCCAACTGCCAAATTAGGAGGGATTGAGGTGATTAATGCAATCCTAGGGTTGTTCCTTCATGCAACCATGGCCCAGGTGGCCCTGGTTGAGATCGTTGGGGTAGTACTTACTAGGCGCTTACTTGGTGATCAATGGCGGATGTGAACCGCGTGGTGGAATTGATCGGATTCTGACGACAGTCAGCGAGTGTGAAAAGCGCTGGTGGGCTGGTAGGTCCCTTCCTTTCGGCTAAAACGCGAGCCGTGGAGCGCTTTTTTTTGTTAACAGATCACCGCTGGGGCATTTTTCTATTGCACGAATATGCCCTGAGAAAGGCCAACACCTTACCGCGCTGATTTAGCTCCTGTACGCAGAGGGGTGCAAAGTGGTCCTAATCCTCTAATCCAGGTCAGCAATCCTCTAATCTCAACAGGGGTGGACCACTTCTAATCCCTAATCCAGAGTGGTGGTCTAATCCATATCCTAGGGTCGGGGTTCTAATCCTAATCCTGTGGCCTGGTCCCAATCCCAATCCTGGGGGGGGGTCCCAATCCTAATCCTGGGGCCGGACCGCAATCCTAACTCTGAGGCTGGGGTCCCAATCCTAATCCTCTTGGTCGTGTCGTAATCCTTATCGTGGAGCTGTTATCGTGTGACTGATTCGATAAAACCTTAATTTTGGCTGGGGGACCCAATCCTAATAGAAGGGTGCCGTGACACGGAAACACACAGTGCCATACAGGCGCGAGGCGATGGCAATCCAAGTGCGTAAAAAAACCAATGCAATTTTACAGCGGGTATATGATCAAACGAAGTAAAACTTGAAACATAAAAAGCAGGCTGACGAAGCTGCGCATCCTGGCCATTTCTGCAATATCGTGCCATACGAAGAGTTTAAGCAGGGATACTGCGTCTAAACACCTTGATTCAAGCATCTGCAGATGCGACTGTGGGGCGGTCGAAGATAAAATGCACGTTGAGAGAGGTGATCCAATGGATCACCATCCACACTGGCAGCGAAGCAGAGACCTTCAATGCCATAAATACCAGGGGCTTTCACAGCTATGAAGCACAACCCAATAAGCAGGACATAAAAAAACTCGTGAAACGATGTCGACGTATGATAGAGCCAAAAGATGTTAACATGTGCGCATAACAATAGGCTCATTCATACAAAGCCCGAAGCCCGAGAATTAACAACAAGCAGGCAGAGCAAACACGTCCTTGGAAGGAGTAGCTGAGAGAGGTGATCCAATGGATCACCATCCACACTGGCAGCGAAGCAGAGACCTTCAATGCCATAAATACCAGGGGCTTTCGCAGCTATGAAATACAACCCAATAAGCAGGACATGCCTCGTAACACGATGTCGACCTATGATGTTGGGCCAGTAATGTTAGCACGTGCGCATAGTAGAAAAATTATGCAAAACGTTTCCGACATTTAACCTACTAATATTTTATAAGGACGCATACCACGCGACTGCCTTTGGAAGCGTCCCTCAATGTCGTGCAGTTGGTTCCGGAGGAGGCGCGGACGCCATCCATACGTCTTCGTGTCCAGACCGTCTTCGTCAATTTTTGCAGATTGTTTTATCGCAAGTTTACTGATTAGCAGACGCCTGTCAGAAGCATGGCTGGAGCTCCTGGAGCGTATGGCTTCCGTGATCAGGAGCATGAGCGCACACATCACACGCGACATCACTTAGTATGACATGGCATAGCAACTTTCTAACCCAGTCTGAACGGTAGCTGGATTTGATAGTCCTCCTACATAGCAGTATTCTAATTGCCAATCATTGCTGTGCCCTAATCTTAATCCAATACCAGTGTACTAATCGTAATCCTGGATATAGGTATTTATCCTAATCCTGGGGCCGGGTCCCAATCCTAATCCTGGGGCCGGGTCCCAATCCTAATCCTACACTCGGGTCCTCATCCTAAACCTGGCCTCAACTTTGTATCCTAATCCTGCCCCTCTTTCCGAATCCTAATTCCTGCCTGACCGGTACCCGAACCCAATCCCTAATCTTTGCATCCCTCTGCTGTACGCATAAGATCTATTCCTCCCACGAAGGAAATCTTTAACTGGCCGGGAACTTGCAAATCATATGTTAGCTTATTAATTTATAAATACTGTAGTGCTTTCGCCTTTAACACGCGGGTAGTATTTCTTGCTTCTTAATGTCATGGAGTTACTGGCAGCCGCACGCGTAGGCTGTTTCTTATTGCTACTACTGGAAGCCTCAGTAGCTCAAACAGTTGTTCGGACGACAGTGCTGGGGAAAGTTAGGGGTGCAGTGTGCGGAAACGGAGACAATGGCGTTGCATCTTTCCTGGGCATTCCATACGCTCAGCCTCCCGTGGGCAGTCTACGCTGGAAAGCTCCTACAAAATATATAAGGCCTTATCCCGCTGTGGGACTTAATGCGACAGCTCCAGGTTCTTCGTGTCGGCAGGGAAATGAGGTAAAGTGTCGAAGGCAACTTGCTAAGCTCGACTCAATATGTTCGTCCCTGAAAAGCCATTTCCCTTAACATATTAACCAATATTATATATCATAAAAAAGATGGTATCAAATATATACGCATGGCACGCTTTTTATGAGCTTCGTTTACTACTGCGTCACAGCCCACGACCCTGGCAATGCCGCCGCTAGCTTTTTGCCAACTCCATCATATTGCGCCGTACTCGTTTTGCCACCAGGGTGATGAGGACTGCCTCTACCTCAACGTTTGGGCGCCGGCTAACATCGCCGGGCTGCGCACTAAGCTGCCGGTCCGCGTTTTCATCCACGGAGGCGCATATCAGACGGGTACGGCACCTAAATTTCTTCCCTTGGTAATCTCTCGTCCACATACAATACCGGCATGCTAATCCTTTCAGTTGACTACTCTTACGTCCTGTGTGGACTGTGAAACACTTAAGCGGCTTTGCGAGCATCTGCACGATCTCTCTTCTTCTAGCCTTTTGTAGAACACGTGCACTGTCCCTCCCTACCCTGCCCCGACTCTCATGTCGCCCAACCCTGCACTTCCCTGCACCATGACCATGGCCATGGAAACACGTCCTTGGCCCCAGCATGCATACCTTTGAAAAAAAGAGCTACATCTCTTAGAGCAACACCCAATAACCCACCCGCATATATGCACTTGGGTGCTCAGCCTTACGTCTCGCAACTTGTAAACGTAACCGCCAACCGCAACTGTAACTGTAACCGTAAAATTGTGTTGTACGACTTTATGCCCTCCTGACTAAAGGAAGCGGCAGCGATGGCATGTACGACGGTTGCAAGCTGGTTAAGGACGGCGATGTGGTATTTGTAACTATGAACTACCGATTGGGTATCCTGGGCTACCTGGCGCTTCCTGAGCTCCGAGACCCTCAGGCCAATCTAACCGTCGGCAACTGGGGCCTCCTGGTAAGTGCCTTTTTCCCCAACACGCATACACACACGTCGTACATGTCGTACCTGCCGTAATCTATACTACCGTACAAACTCTGCTGTTCGTCTGCAGATCCTCTCATGCATGTACGTATGTTCGTACATACTTACACAACCCCACAGATGTCCTGATACATGTACGGATGTACACGTGTGCTCTTTGTTGTACGGGCTATGTACGGCAGTGTACGGAACGTCGAAATGGCATATTTCTTACCCTATCTCCCCTGTGCGCGCGGTATGATTATATATATTCCCGCAGGACCAGCGCCTGGCGTTGCAGTGGGTGCGTGACAACATCGGCGCTTTCGGCGGTGATCCGAAGAAGGTGGTGTTGTCCGGGGAGAGCGCGGGGGCATACTCCACTTTGCTGCACCTGGTGGCTCCTGGCTCCAAGGGACTGTTCTCCGCGGCCGCGTCCTTCAGCGGGAGCGCGGACGCCATGGCTGTGGATTTCCTGCGTGGTAGGGGGTTGGAGAGAGTGGAGGGGGCTTGGAGGTGGATGGGTGGGTGGGTGGGAGGGAGTGGAAAGTGACCGAACCACTTCATATACACCAGCGGTACATGAGAGCAGAAAGATGAGCCGAGGGAGTCCAGCGCTTTGATGATTCGAACGTGAGGGGGTGAAGGGAGTGGAGGAGTGAGGGGGTGCGGATGTGGATGTGAAATGTGGGATGTGATGTCTGGAATGGCTGGCGTAGTGTAAGAAGAGATCAGCTCCCCTGGCATCTCCCTGAGTACTCTTTGCCTGGTGTTACAGGTGGCTAGGGGTAGCGCTGCCGGACCTGAGGGTGTCGTTGGAGGTTGTTCGGTTCTCCGATGCACACCTCGGCATCTCACCCTCCCGCATTTCCCTCCTTTCGTTCTTCCCCTGCGTGCTCAATCCTCTTCCTTTGCTACCTATTTGCCCATTCCTTAATCTGGTATGCCGTACCGTCCCACTGCTTGCCGTACTCACCCTCCCTAGACGCGTACCGGAAAGGTTCCACCCTGCGTACGACACTCAACTGCTCAAGCTCCAACGCCCTGGCTCGTGGCTATGCCAGTACCGGGGACTGTCTGCGAGCGGTGGATGCGGACACGCTCCTGGCGGTACAGGATGAGATTAGCTCAAGGACTGTAGATGTAAGTTCGGCAGTACAATTGTACGGCAGTACGGCATATGAAGGCATACCTACCAGGATACATAAGCCCCACGCTGTTTGCCGTAGGACGCGTTTTGGTGAAATATCCCGAACAACAGCAAATGAAAAGATAGGGCTATACATACATGACGTGTACGGCATCCCTGTGTTTCGGCTTCCCTAGAATAAGTCGTAGCCAAGAGTAGCCAAACTCACCCTCCCCAAAAAGGTCCCGAACGTTTCTTACGACAATTGTAAAAAAAAGTGAAAAAACGTGAAGAAAACAAGAACACACACGCTCCCTCTCCCCCACCATTTTCCCCCCCCCACCATCCCCAGCTGCGCCAAGCACATCCTCACTCTCCAAGCGCCCCTAACCACCCTACCACTATCACTGCCAATTGTCCCTCCTGCAGTCCTTCATCCCCACCATTGACGGCATCTTCATGCCCAGACATCCCGTGAGGCTCATGCAGCTCGGTGAGCAATGGGTGGGTGAGCAACAGATTCTCTCTTGCTCAAGGAAGGCGCCGAAAGTCCGCCGTACGCACGTGTTTTGTCGATGCTACAGTCGTATGACGCGACACAGGGGGAGGGAGGACAGTATGAAACCCTTAAGTCGACCACCAGGGGGTTTAGGCTGCATTACATGGCGGAAGTTCAATGTCGCCCTCCCTCTCCCCATTTTGTCATAACCGGGGGTTAAAACGCGCGTGTAAGTAGTTTGTCCCCAGACCAGGAAGCCAGTGGTGGGTGGGATCGGGGTAAGACGAACCACTGGTGGGGGTGGGGGTGGGAGTGGGGGGGTGGGCGGTGGCTAGGGCAAGAAGCAGCTGGGCTCCTAGCTAGAGGATAGACATCTCGCCGGCTTAGAAACCTTTACAAGAATCGTTTTGATTATCGTGCATTGAGTGACAGGCAGTCGATACACACGGAGTACCACGGTATCCCTTGCTGTACAACTACTATGTACGGCATGGCACATGTACGGCTGGCTGTCTAGAAGCTAGAACAGAATATGCCAAAGCCTGAATGTGTGTCCGGAAGAGAAGGGAAAGGACTCCTCGTCCCACGTCCTATGTATGTATGTATGTATGTATGTATGTATGTATGTATGTATGTATGTATGTATGTATGTATGTATGTATGTATGTATGTATGTATGTATGTATGTATGTATGTATGTATGTATGTATGTATGTATGTATGTATGTATGTATGTATGTATGTATACATGAGAGTTAAGCTGAGTTATGCACATGTACGGCAGAGTGAGGCTGAGGTCTTTTATTTCTAGTTCACATTACTGAAACCCTTCATCTAGCGAACGTAATCCGAATCACGTGGGCTCTTCTTAATTAGGCAACGCCACCAAGGTTCCAGTGTTACTTGGAGTCAACGCCAACGAGGGAGCTTTGGAGGTTCTTGGTCAAACCCGCGGCTTGGACCCCATTGACGTGGAGGGCTTTTTCACCGTTGTGAACAGCCTGATCCCCATTTCGCCATCCTTCAACGAACGGGTATGTACGGAAACTTAACGGTTAACCGTTTACGGTTACATTGGGTGCCGTACTCTTTCGTTCAATGAACTACACGCCTTCATTGACAAAATGTTAGTAAAAGTAATGTCGTACTGTTACCGTACTGTACGTGCAGCTGTACCAGCAGTACAACGCGGACGAGTACTATGGCGGCAGTTGGCTTCTTTCAGCTATCAATGTGATTACAGGTGTGTATGCGTAGGTACACGACATTGTACGGCACGGATACGGCCATGCGTTACCCTTCGTACACACGCTGTTTTGGGTGTGTGTGGGAGGGCTCTTACCTCCCAAGCGGGGTAAAGGGGTTTCGGGGATCTGAGGGTGACGGTCCCGGTGCGACCCAACCAGCGCAACACGCACAGCCACAGGCATACTGGACGGCACACGACCTTTTCCGATACTGACAACCCTGTATAACATTTTTTTCGCGTGGGGTCGCGTGCTGTCCGTTTGCTGTCCGTTTGCTTCCCGTTTGCTGTCCGTTTGCTGTCCGTTTGCTGCCCGTTTGCTGCCCGTGGTTAGATAAGACATTCAACCCTTCGACTATATTTCCTAAAATCCCTAAGTAAATTCCCTAAGTAAAAATCCTAAGTAAATTGTTGGCAGTGAAGTCCGTCATGCATTCCTGTGCTACTCCCCCCATTCTCCCCTCCTGTCCCTGATCCCCCTGCCTCCTCCTTCGCTCCTGAACCAGATGGCGGCTACCACTGCCCCTCCCGCCGCGTTGCCAAGCTCCTGTCCGCCCAGGGACTCACCGTGCGGTACCACATCCTGCAGGCGTCGAAACCCAACACAGGGTGTCCGCTGTTCGGTGAGCAGTGTGTGTGGGGGGGGGGAGGGGGAGGGGGAGGGGGAGGAGGGAGGGGGAGGGGGAGTGGGAGGGGGGGGGAGGGGGAGGGGTGTAATGGACAGCGAACAGGATGCCTGTGTGTGCATGTTATGTACGGCCACAAAGTAGGACGCCGTACGTACGTACTCTACGTACGGCAGATTGCCTATTCGTCCGGACCTTACGATATGGAGGGTGCATGCGTGTATAAATGCATATGTATGTATGCCCGGCTGCGGTGATGTGACACCGCCTCAGCTTACATGCCCGGGGGGCCCGCTCTCTTACGTCATGCCGTACATGCCGTGAAACCTCAGTGACTACTGGCTTGTTCTTTGGCGAGGAGTTCACCAACTTCATGGATGCGTTCCACTCTTATGTAAGTTCGGGGTTTGGGGCCAATTAATTCCAGGCTCTGCTCTCAGTGTATCACTTCGTGCGTTTGAGGTGGTATGAGCTCTCATATTCTTACATCTCATGTGCATGCACGTGCAGGACATTCCCTTCACCTTCCTAGCGCCGTACCGTTATCCGTTCAACCAGTGTCCCTTCACACCTAACGAGACGCAGCTTGCGTCGTACTTGTCGGGTAAGCGAAGTGCTGATGCCCGATATGTATCCATTTATAAGCATGTACACACATACATGTACATTGCCACGTGCACCCCTGCCGGACCTTTGCCGTACATTTGTCGTACACAGGTATCATCAACGCCATGGCCGCCACTGGTTCTCCCCTGCCGCCGCGCACCAGCTCCCTCACCTCCCGCCTGCTCAAGAACACCCCAAGCTGGAAGCCCTGGACCGCCACCTCGAACCCCGTCATGAACATAGACACGGCTGGACCACGGGTGTTTGAGGCGGCTGACCTGCTGCTGGATGCCAAGTGTCAATTCTGGTGAGGAAACGGTTCCGGTCTTTTAGCACTGTAAAACTTCCTACTTGCCCTATACGTACTTGGAAACTTGTTTTGTTTCGTACATACACACCACCATCGAGCACCAAAGCCTTTCTCTAACGTTTCTCCATTCCTTCTTCTTACCCTTATTATTACTATTATTATTTTATTATTATTATTTTATTATTATTTCATTATTACTTTATTATTATTGCCTTCCCCTGCGATGGCACACCCGAGTTCATTACTATCTGATTGTGCTGCTGGCGGTTTTGTTACCTGCCCTCCAGGACAAGAGGGCAGGTCTCCTCCTGTCCGGACCTGTCCAGAGACATTTCCACCGCCGCCTGCCGTCTTCATCTATCTGCTTGCCTGTTTTGGACACTCAGCCTGTTTGGCCAATAATATACCCGACCCCCCCCCGCAACATGGTCAAGTTGCCGCCACAGTGAATATACATACTTACATACACACATAGATACATACAGAGCTGTGTAATTTTATCTGTGCCTTTACCTTAACTGTTTGCGACGACTCTCTTACCTCTGCAGGGACGACCTCCTGAACGCGGACATAACCGCGGGCACTGCCTTCCACAGCTGAAGAAGTAAATACCGCACGTAAGGATAGATCTTTCACTTTTGCTGGAATTGTGGGCTCGCGATTAATAATAATGATCAAACACGTGCCACCAGGCCGCGGTAGGTGTGCAACGGCACGAGGCATATCCACCAGCCGCGGTCCAAAGCTGTCCCTAGCTCGCAGCAGTGTCTGGTGTCCCGTCGAGCCTGTTGGATATCGCCGCGGATTGCCTCCCCGAGCTTACCTAGCTGCTAAGGCTGATCCAATCTCCATACCTTTTAAATAGATCATAACCTGCTGTCGATATAGCAGGAAATGTAAAAATTTCATCCTCCTCCTCCTCCTCCTCCTCCTCCTCACCTGGATGAACCGCGTTGAAGCATCTTGGAGAAGTAGGATGTCTGAAAAATCGCTGTAATTTAATCCTCCCGGAGGGGGCGAGCGGGGTTTTCTCGGTTTGTTAGTCTGTTTGCTGTTGTGCCGCATCTTTAACAAGTAGCTGGCGTGTTTTATTACAGTTCACCTTTTTGAAGCAAAAGGGCGTCGAAGCAGCAGCAATGTTGCGATTCCGATGATGGGCAGCGAGGGCCAAGGTCATGCTGGTGATGTTGGTGATGCTGCTCCTGCAAACACGTGGTGATGATGGCGGTGGTAGTCATGTTGGTGGTGGTGGTGCTGCTGCCGCTGCGTATTGGTACATTAACTTCTGACCGTTATTATCTCTCCGCTAACCTCTATCCGCAGTCCGCAGTCCTTACTGCTAAATCCGCAATGAAGTCGCGACAGCAAGTGTTGTGCTCTTCGGATGAACTATAACAACAGCATATAAGCTGTCGAAAACTTGCAAACCATGTCGATGCGTTTTTTGAAGCTCCCGAATTTCGTTTTTTTCGAAGCTTTCCCTCTTTGGCTGCGTGCCGTGCTCTGCAGATCGGGCAAGTTAGGAACTAATGCTTCCTCCAGACGCCAACTGGAGCCAGTTCCTTTCACTTTCGCTGAGGCAGTGTTTTCGTTCGGCGGACAGGGTTCGGGGTCTTAATATACAATATATATTATTGTTGTATTATTCATAAAATTGCGGCGCCGTCCAGTGCTCACGCGCACGGCCAAGAATCTAGTCGCTCCCGTCTGCACATAACGACCCTTGGTCGCGTTCAGGACATACTTTCCATATGCATCGGCCTAATGAAGCCGTACCGTACCGTACCGTGCCGTACATGGGGTCTTCACACAAACATGCTTGCTTGCTTTTACAACATACGTTTCTGCTGCAACAACAGATAGACGCTTGAAACACCAGACGCAATGTTCGCGCGGGAAATGCACAGGAACCCTTCTTACAAAGCTAAGCGTGCACGTGCTTGTGTCTCGAGATGAACTTGAACTCTCGGGCAAGGCGGCATGCGCGGTTCTTTCAGTTATCCTTGGCTATGTATGTATAGCCTGGTGCACAATGTTGCTAGTGTCCTTGCGAGGCAACGGTTTCTGTTACTTGGGAGGCCAAGCACGTCGCGCTGCACCTCGCCCTGAAGCGGACGAGGGAGGATGATCATGACCTCCCGCGTACCCGCATCAATTCCAATACAACGTCCATGGCCCCCCGGCTTTTACGGACACACCTGCACCTGTGTGCGGAACTTGTAACTTGCAACTTGTTACTGTGTGTTACATTCTGGTAGTGACGTGGACATGTTTTGTTTGGTGCCGTACGAAAGAGGTGTGTGCTTTCACGCGTCTACAGAAAGTGCATTAGAAGAAACCGCAACTTGTGCCTCTCTTGCCGAATGCCAACTGCTTAGAATGGCGCGTATTTAAACGAGGCTCTACTTCCAAGTCATGGTAATAGCTACAGTAATACTGAATTGCCGTGCCGCTTTCCGGGGCAACTGAATGGCCGTACGTGCACGTAAACGGACGCCATTGCGCTGAAGCTTCATGAAGATCCCAGCAGTTCTTCTTCACCGTAGCACACAACCAATCCGCATTGGTGTGACTTCACGACGAGGTGACGAGGTGTGCATAGGTGATGCGAATAGAATGCGGCAGAACAGCATGACAAACACAAAAATGATAAGAGTGACACGGATGTTTGAAGCAGTAGGAGTGCCGGGATAACAATGGAAGTTGGTCGAATGACAGCGAAAAAAAGGACAACAGTAATCAACGGCGACACATCAACGAAGTGAGCTCACCATTACTTCACCCACTTCTCTACGATTGTTGGTACAATGTTGCCCATCTCCCAGTCAACACAGAAGTAATCCCCTATCAGTATGTAGCACACATACTCCCCTGCTGCCCATGGGGGGTGGGGCGCGATGATTGCTCAGTTTTGCAACTAGGATGGCCGCAACACTCCTTGGAGCGATTGGCAGTGGCATGCTTCACATGACATGCATATTCAGCAGCTACATGCACACCTCGTAAAATTGCGGGCATTAGCCCTACATAGGCACGGGTTACAAGTGCCCCAGCAATTCAAATGTCAGGCTGGAAAGGCTGTGCAACATACTTGCAAGACTCACAAATGCCGTCAGCCTACAACCCACACAGAGAAAGGCAACTAACTACACAACATGAATGCAGCACTATCAGAAAAAAGACCTTCCAGGCCTACTGAACAACCTAAGCTACAACCATGCCACAGACATACATAAGGATTGCACGTGTCCCAACGTGTCCCCAGGTTGCAATTGCAACAAACACCACAGACACTGATACTATCACCACTATGATGCCTGCAGCAGCTGACACCATGTCCCCTATCTACCCATCCCTCACCCCATGCTGTCTGCAAACACCAAATGGCCGCAGTGCTCCAAACACTGGCACCAACCTGCAATCTGCAAGGCACCATACTGCAGTTATATTGAGACACCAGTCCACTTACGCTGCTGCTACAGAACAATATCCGCCCCATCAGCTCAGAAAACACGACGCAGCTGCATGGAGCTGTAGCCCGCGCACCAGGACCTCTTCAGCAACAGAGCGTGTGTGTACAGCGGTGCAGCCCGCTGCTGCATGCAGTTTATTTTCACTACTCGCTGAGTCGTCTTCGCCACGCGTGATCCTGGAGTCCGCTTCAGATCGGCCACCTTGAAGGTCTGGAAGCTGCTTGCGGGCACAATGTAATCAAGGTAGTACACGTCCCGGGGAGGCAGGCACTGCAGGTGCCGCTCTAGGATTTCCTCATCGACGGCCTTGCGCTTCTTGCTGACTGTTATCTGCAGCAGCCTGTCTGGCAGGACACAGGCATCAATGCATGGGTGGCGGCCATGCGACGGTTGCAGGTAGGCAGGCGCCGTGCGCGATTCCACTGCCTCCCTGAAGTGAACATCAATGTCCTCCGGTTTGTCTGCCACCAGAAACTGCACCTGCTCGAGCGGCTTCTGGGTCATCACCATCGATTTCCCGCCAGTAGCTGCGGTAACCGCCATTTCCCTCTCCTCACGGACGGCCTTCCGGGGCCGGCCCTGCTTCCCCGTGCGGGGGACACTGCTAGGAACGCTCAGGACCTTGTACTCAAACTTGCCACCCTTGATAAAAGCCTGGTGGGCGTAGGGCTCCCAAAATAGGCCGCTGAAGCCACCTTCATCCGACATGTAATATGCCAGCTCCGCACCAAGGCCCTTTGCTCTGACCTGCTGGGTAAACAAGCTGCCGACATGGGGAGTGGCAAAGCAGTACTCGAGCTGGCTGAATGTGCTGCGGTCCCCATCCTGGTGCACGATGTGGTGGCTGGCCTCCGGGGCGGCATCGTAGGCGCCTAGAGCACTAACCACCTGCGGGTGCACGAGAGAAATTACATTGATGAAGGGAGGGGCATAAGTCCAATGCAAGGCCAGGTGCACAGTATTCAACAGTGAGGCCCTTGTAAAGGGGGTAGCCCCCATATCCTGATGCATAATGTAGCGCACTACATAGCTGTTCTGCCGATGCAGTACTGCTTCACCACACACATTGACATAAGGCGGCAGTCATCTCTCGTTCATTCATTGACAGTAACACATTGCATGCTGCTAAGAGTGGAGGTTTGACCACACAAAACCAAACGCACTTCCCCCCCTCCATACCATCTTCGAAGTCATCATTGCATGTGTATCCCCACCCGTCCAGCATATCACCTGTTCGAGGCTTGTGGAGGCGAGTGCGCTCTTGACGACTGCATCATCTGGCTGATTGTAACCCGGTCGTGATGGCAACTCCAGCACCAGCCGCGGCACGCCACCGCAGTACATATCGAAGCGGCGCCTCACACGTTCCAGGGGTAGCTGCAATGGACATGGCAAGGCTTTGATCACCAGTGGCGGACAGCAGCCCGACCACATTATATCATACTAACAATCATCACGGCACTCAGGCTGCACACCTTTTGGATGCCGCTATGCAGGCACTGCCAGCACGCCTCAATCTCAGCCCACGTCCACAGCGGCATGGTGAGTGTGATGTCATCGCGCCCCTTAACCCACTCCTGTACATGGAACCGCCAATCAGCCCGCACGGCATTGGTCACGTGTGGGGGAAGTCCAGGCGTCCAAGGCCATGCTCGTACACACCTTATAAATGGAGCGATTGGGAGAACAGATCATTATGGTGTGAGCCGCGACGTTCGGCGGCATGATGCCGTCAGTAAAGAACCTGCAGCATCAATCGTGGGCATTTCATAATTCAGCCCCAGATGACATTATCAGGGAGGCCGACTGCATTGCCGTACATGTCCTAACCCGACCAAAACCATACACGGCTCAATTATTGACATGTAACATGCTGTCTTCCTGACCATGTTGGTCATCAGGCCTCCCCATTCACCAACACCACGGAATCTATGGGCAGCAGGATCAAGGCACGCACATTGAAGCTGATGCTGACAATCAGTTGCGTTGGTTTCAACAGAGCACACATGAGGGGTAGCCAACATGTGTAACACCCGTTGTGCTTTCCTTGCCTGGCACCGCACAAATACACATCCACCTGGCAGAGCTCTTCATCCACAACGTTGACAATTGCGCGCCTAAGCCCTAATCTGCAGCCCCGGCATGCCAATGCATTCACCAGCGATATTGTGCGCGGAAGAGCACTTCACCTACACGTGCTGAAGAGGCCTCCAGCTGCGTTGCTTGCCATGCATGCTCCCTCCGAAGGCCTTTTCCCTTCAAGTCGTACCCTTACGCTATCTTCCTACCCCCCCAATATGAAGCTATGCAAAGCCGGCACTTACCAGGTTGACTCCTGCTCAAGTTCCTCCATGAAGCTGTCGACATCACCAATGTAAGCCTTGCCAGCCTTGAAGAGGACACATCGCCGCATGTTGAATTTGTGAGACTGCCAGACGATTGATGGGGGGTCCTTCAGCTGTAGCAGGCTGTACACTGCGTACCAGACAAACCAAGACTTGCCAGTACCAGGGACGCCAGTCAGGAGCCATGCCTCCTGCTGCTGAAGCAACTCGAAAAGGGTGGGAAAAACGTCGCGGACAATGAGGGCATGGTGGCATCGCTTGAGGTCATCTGGAAAGAATGTGTTGGAGTCGAACGACAGCAGGGACATGCCGCCGCCGATGTCCTTGACCTCAGCGTTCTGCAGCGCCTGGATGAAGGCTGCCAGGGTAGCATTGTAGACGAACCCTGCACACACAGAGCGTATAGGATAATATTTTTTCTTGTACGTTTAAATGGCATCTACCTATTTCGAACAGCCTTTGGCTAGCCCTTGGGCCTTCGGCTCGTTTGCCCCGTGGTGCCATTATACACCTTTGGAGAGTATCGCAACACCAGACGGTGTTAGCATAACACAACCACACAACCACAGACACACATAGTGCCATCAGGATTGCGATCGCGCAAGGAGGAGGACGAAGAGGCGTACATAGGCAGAGCAAATTGGGGACCGCCGCCAGCGAGAAGCCGCCAGTGAAGCCAATAAATATTCCTATCAAAAGGTCCAGGCACTTACCGCCGCTCCGGATCCAAGACCAGAGCATATATGCTATGTGAGGTGACGTAGTAACAACGACCGGTATGTCGTCGTTAGTCATGGGAGCCCAGGAAATACCCTAAAAATGTAATATGACTAAAAAGAGACAGCATGTGTGCATGTACCAAGGAATTACAACCCCTGTGTTTGTTTTTCCCCCAGCAAAATGATTTGCACCTCACGCAGGTGCACCTGTCTGGGTGTACCTCCCCTCCAAGAGGAAGGAAAGGCGTCAGCTGTGTGTCACTCAAGACATACACTACAACAATCGAATAACAAGCGTTGTTCCTACGTACAGCAGGTGTTTCTATCGCGAACACAAACAAGCAAACAGCGGTGCTCGTCGGGAGCCCAGTCACAGGCCCAGCCGCAGCAAAATGACGAACCCGAGAAACTCCCAACCCAGTCTAGGAACACCGTTCTATAGAGGAGCGGCTGTGACTTGCTGTCACGACACAAGCAGTAGCTATGCCTTGTAGACGTCTGCAGATCACAGCAAGACCTCTCTTGCATGCTATTGGTAATGATACCGGCTAAAGGACCGAAATCCTCGCTTATGCAGAAAACTTTTCCTGACACCCTATTTGACACAGTCCACAGGCGGTCAGTTCAGATGTACCAAAAGACAACCGGCGTCATGACCGACCTCACTCAATGTGAGCACAGCAGCATTAAATTGATGTCCTGGAAGCAAGAGCAAGCACTAGTAGCTGGAGTCTACACAATATGGGCCCCTCTGCAAAGTATGACCTAGTTGGTGGCACAGGGATGTACCTAAGGCCTGCCGAATACTGGGGCGGAACATAATGTCTCGTCGATCATGCCAGCCAAAATTTTGACGAAAAGCCCAAACAGCTCAGGGGGAAACCCTGAACACACACCTGGTGGGTGGGTGTTGCCATGTAACCAGCTCGTGGCTTGGCTGTTTGGTAGTGGCATGATACACACACGTGCAATGGGAGAGAAATGGCTGAAGGCGGTGTGCGGGTCTGTGCTAAGTGCCACAATCCCGAGAAAAGACCTGTGTAAGTATTGGAGTGCAAAGCTTTTTAAGCAGCCCCTCACTCGAACGAAACGCAGGGTACGACGACCAGAATAAATACTCCGTACAACTGTGTGAAGGCCACGGCGGCCTGCACAAAGGCCAGCTCTCAAAACCCAGGAGTGCGGGCTTTAAGTGTATGTGCGCAAAAGATGCAGGCATGCGAAATTCAAGAGCCTTCAAGAGCCAGGAGTGCTGGTGGGATACACATATGCGTGTGGAAATTTCGCGGGCGTGCAGTGACGGACGCCAGATTGGCTGCTGTGAGAACCGGCCAGCGGGTTGCCCCCGCTACTGGGAAACACCACAGCATGAAGTCGAGCGGGCGCGTCCGCATATCCCTTGGCATGCAGGAGTCCACTGAACGAGGGAACTGCTTAATGGCGAATTAAATAAATGCGAAAACAAAGAAAGTATAACACATTTATAAAAGATAAACACCAACATAAAGGAAAGCTCGTGGCGACACGGGAAGCAAGGGGCAATGTTAATTAATAAAAAAAGGAAGCTTTCAATTGAGAAAAAAGAAACAAGGACTTCGCTAGCTTGGCTTGCTGAGAGGGTCGGCGACAGGGTCGCAAAGAGCTGCCTTCATAAGCAGCGGGCATGGGCAACGTACACCGCATTGCCGGCAAGGGTGGTGTTGGCCTTCATCCGACCCGAGTGGAGCCCTGCAAGGTCGCGCGGTTCACCAAGCGGCATTAAACCTGGGCACATGCAGCTGCACGGCAGGCTGATGATAGCAGTGCATGATGATAGCTCTTATCAAGACGCACAACGGTTGCTGAATGTTGCTGGCTTCCAACCACCCACATAACACTTCCACATATGCACACACGTGTGCACACTACCATTCTCCGTCGTGCACGTTGTGCACGGCAAGCCACTTTCGCCACCGTACGGCATCACCCTATGAAGCCGCAATGACCGCGGCCAGCTGCTTCACCAGAAAACCTCGATGATTTCACAACGGCAATCAGACAGGAATTCGTTCAGATTCACACTTAATGGCCCTGTTGACACTGCATAAAATTTCAGCCTCACAAGTTTCAGAAGCGGTCTCTTTTTAATATAATGTTTTCTAAAACTGTGTACACTGAACTAGCGTTTTAAAGTACAACATGCGCGTCTCAATCGTATGCAATCGTGGCGGGCTTGGATCCATAAACGGGTGCGGTTCATATACATCAAGATCTCACCTTGCAGTTTATCCTCAAGGTTCTTCCGGCAGGCCCTCAATTCTGCGAGGGCCTGGACCATCTGACTGTACTCGAGATTGAGGATTTTGTCCTCGGGGTGCTTGTGGAGCTGCTTGACCACTTCCCCCAGCTTCGCATTCTCGTCATCAATCTCACCATTTAGTCGCTGCAGCTGCTCCTTAATGGCTTCCATGGCTGCTGAGGAGGGACAACGATTGTGAGCTTAACATTAGCAAATGGTATTGCAATTGAGAGAACTCTGCAGTTATTTAAGCAGCCCCTCGCAGAAATGTGTCCGGTCGTACTGTGCCGAATAAACGGGATGTACATCGTCCAAAAAAGCCAGGAGCGAATTTTGCCGCGCGGATGCGCGCGTGCGATTTACAAAATGCGCCTGTACAAGTGTATATAAATTTTCTTGGCGAAAAAGGCCGAGGTGCGCCAGCGCGTTGCGCAGGTGGGCATGCTGGCCACAGCCGCACGCGGCATGCAGGCCGGAAATGTGGGTGGCTCCTTTGCCGTAATTGAAAGAACTGAAATCATACAACTTAGATTGCAAGGCTGGGCTCATGGCACGGCCGCGGGAAGAGGAAGCGTTGGGCGAAGCGACACTTTTGTGCAAGCAAAAGGTCGCGTTTTTGGTAGCGCAACGTATACAGCACTTTGTTCAGAGTAAAGTCAAATTACAAAGTTGCGCAAAGTATAACATACATAAACTTAATTAAACACAAGAACAGATAAGACGTTTAGAGCCTTGTCGGTGACATGGACGCCGCTGTTGGCTTGGAACAGCTATTTAATTGCTGTGCATAGGGACGTGCCCGCGTTAGCCGTGTTGCAACAGCTCAGGATGGATTTCAGCCAGCAACATCCTCAAGAGCTGCTGCACAACCACCGGGAATGTCTTCAGTTGGGCACGTGTAGGTTTGGTCGGCGGGGTCGAGCATCGTACGCATTGCGCACAGAAAACGAGGTGCAGCGTCTCTGTAACGTCGCCAACATATCCGGTACGCGGTGGCAGGCTTGCCGAGCACGAAATGAAGGGGGGGTCGCATCTCACCATTCAACTAAGCATGCATGTGCTCGGTTGAATGCTCGGTAGCGTGCGAGTTTACCCCTATCAGGATGTTTGTTTGCATATCCCTCCAAGCGAGAGGGCTTGGACCTATGCCGATGTTCGTTCCAAGAAGTGAACTGAGAACTGATGCTACGGTGAAAGGTATGCACGTAATTTCGCCCGTGCGCCAAACGCCCTGTAACTCGCTTACGCTAATCTCACATTCCAATATGCCACTGCACTTTCCTCTCCAGCCTGGCCCCATTCTCTTCCTCGCAAACATACTTGGGCACCTTACAATCCAACACCATACGTGCTTTGGAAACGCGGGCAGCTGCTTCACAAGGACCCCCCCTATTTGCTAGGTAGTGAGTTGCTGTTGGATTGTTAAGCAGCCCTGTCTTTGGGGCGTCTTGTACGAAGGGTTTATTCGGCACAGTACGACCGGACACATTTGTGCGAGGGGCTGCTTAATCATTGTGCGAGGGGCTGCTTAAACTGTTTTTCCTTAGGATTTTAGTACGTTTCATGGAATGCTGGAGACCCGCTGAAGCGAATCTGAAAGGGCGCCACCACAGCTGCTTGTGCGATGCAACATGCAAGTGCAACCAGCTCAGATGACACACAAAGGATGAGCTGGCTCAATTCGAAATCGCAAAGACTACATCAAAACGTTCTTTATAAATTTCGCTGGTTGAAACCGCAAGGCGGCCCGTGCACCCGCGCACTGAAACTCCTTTAGTTCTATACGCATTTTCACATATCCGCTTATCAACATTGTAAAATTGTCGGACAATCAAACTGAATCTCTTAGTTACATTGACAGCGACGACTCATGGCTTCTCGAACTAATTGGCGCCAAGAAACAAACCAGTATCCAACCTGGGGCTCTTGAAAGAGTCGAGTTGGGAAAAAATCACCTCCTTCTTCCCCCATCTCCTCCCCCATCTTCTCCCCCCTCCCCACTTTCAGGGTGATTATCCGCAGCGCCAACAAGAGCACTGACACTGACCTGCTGGGTCATGATGCCTGGGTGGCGAGAGTGGAACACAGACTAGACGAATGTCTTAGTGTAATTGAATTTCATTCTGGAAGCTTGCGGCATTTGCGACTGAGCGAGCCCAGGATTCGAGACTCTTATCCTGTAAAGCTCCGTGACATTTGGACAAGCTCGTCGTGTGCGATTGTGGCAGAGTCTTCTAGCTCTGCGCATGCTGTGGCCCGCACAGGCTACCAGAGTTTCGGCAGTCTTTTTGGGGCGAGGCCCCCCGAATGGCGCTTCGCGCGGGGGGGGCCAAGCCCCCGGTGTTCACTGCTGCAATCAGTCAGTCTGTCTGTCATGTCTTGCTCGCCAAAAGTAACGTTCAAAAGCTACATCAACTCTTTATCGATTGGCCAAAGGAGAAAATTCAGAGAAACCAGAGCGCGAAGATAGCTTTCCATGGCTTCAAGTTTGACTTCCCCTCACCTCGCAGCCCTAAGCAGAATGCGGTTGTTACAGTGGACCCCGCACTCTGGGAACCGGTCTCCCTTCGATTTCCCGGGAATACCTTCGTTGGGAGTTCGTTTTTTGTTCATTCCGTGCTTATTTCGGAATAAGGGCTGAGGGGCCTTCAGGACATATCGAAGGAGTTCGGCTGAAGTGGGCACTTTGCATGCAAAAGCCTCCTAATATCGCCATGCCAGGGATTGTTTTACTTACTTATGACTGTATGCATCCTCCAAACGTAAATTTTCGTTCATTCTGAGCTCATCCCAAAATGAAGGGCTGAGGGGCCTTCAGAACATATCGAAGGGGTTTGGCTGAAGTGGTCGGATTCCTTTGTAGAAGCCTTCTGACATTGTCATGGTTTTAGTGAGAACACGACTTTGCACAAATCCACACAGCATCTGTTCATTAGTCTGGCAGGCTGTTGAAGATGTAATAATATCTAATAAAGATGGCCCCTCCAGTTACCTCTGCGACGGCCGACTGTATGCGATCTCGCAATTTGAAATTTCGTGCGCCGGGGCAGGGCCGGCGCCGGGGATGGTGATGGTAGAAGGGGCGACGGCGGGTGGCACAGTTGACGGCAGGGTTGGTGACGGTGGCTCAGGCAGCGCTGGGGTTGGCAGCGGTTGCAGGGGCGACGGCGGGGACGGTGATGTTGAAAGGGGAGACGGCGGGGTACTAAGGCGAGGGCGGGGTTGGTGACGGTGGCAGGGCCGACGGCGGGGATGGTGACGGTGGCAGGGGGGTGAGCAGGGTTGGTGACGGTGGCAGGGGTGACGGCAGGGTTGGTGACGGTGGCAGGGGTGACGGCGGGGATGGCGATGGTGTTTAGGGTTACGGTGGGGATGGCGAAGGTTGCAGAGGTCATGGCGGCAGCTGTGACGGTGTTTAGGGTGACGGCGGGGATGGCGACGGTAGCTTGGGCAACGGCAGAGATGCATACGGCGATGGCGGCAGGGCCGGCGCCGGGGATGGTGATGGTGGAAGGGGCGACGGCGGGGATTGCGACGGTGGATGGGATGACGGCGGGGTTCGTGACGGTGGCTCTGGTGACGGTGGGGTTGGCGACTGTGGCAGGGGAGACGGTGGCAGTTGTGATGGCGGCAGGGGCGACGGTGGTTTGGGTGATGGCGGGGATGGCGAAGGTGGCCGAGGTGATGGCGGCAGCGGTGATGGTGTTTAGGGTGGCGGCGGGGATAGCGACGGCAGCTCGGGCAACGGCGGGGATGCATACGGCGGCGACGGCAGGTATGGCGCCGGGGATGGTGATGGTAGAAGGGGCGACGGCGGTGACGGTGATGTTGAAAGGGGAGACGGCGGGGTACTAAGGCGATGGCGAGGTTAGTGATGGTGGCAGGGCTGACGGCGGGGATAGTGACGGATGCAGGGCCGATGGCGGGGATAGTGACGGTGGCAGGGGTGACCAGGGTTCTTCACCAGGGTACCCCAAAATTTCGGCTGTGTCCGAAATCCTCTGAATAACCTTTCGGTGCCCTCCCCGAAAATTTTCCTGTCAGCCTGACCGTGTTTTCGGGTACCCCGAAGCTGTCTGAAGCGGTTTTCGGGGTACAAATTAGCTGGATTCTATCGTTATATGCTAGGGCGGCTGAACTAACAGATGTTTGATTTTATTTTGGTACATAGCGCCTGGGAGAAATATTTCAGCAAGGATTTTACGCAAAACCAAGGAGGCGCCGCTCCTCATCAATCTCTGCAGCAATCGCCTCCACCACACCTGCCACATCGTCATCGTCCGTCTCCTCAGACGGGTACACCTCATCACTTGCCACACTCTCGACCTCCTGGTTATCAGAAGGATAATAGGCCTCAGCAATTTCACTGCCCACACTGCCCTCATCATCACTCTCATCAGGCAGAACACAGTCGCCCACCTTGGCAATACGGTGCAGGAGCCCATCCGGGTTCTTTGCAACATACTCCTCAGCAGCTTTAATCACAAGTTGCCATTAGTTCCGCATCAGTTCCCCGGGTACTTTCATAGCGCCACTATTATATTATTTGTATGATAGAAACTCACCAGATGCCTTAAAGAAGCCGCGAACCCGAGGGAGATGCGGGGCACCTTGGTTGGGCGCTCATCATCAGCTTACTCGGGCATGTTTAGCTATGCATATGCTTAGATGTATGAAAATGTGGCATATGCATATGCTTAGATGTATGAAAATGTGGCATATGCATATGCTTAAATGTATGAAAATGTCTGCGATACAGGTTCGAAACAGCCGCAATGGACATTTATACTTGTTGATGTTGTTACAGGGTGGTTAAGCTTCACCAGTGGCCTCCTTCCCGAGGCAGTTCCCTGCTCTCCCCTGCTAGAGGGGCACCCTAAGCCATTCACCCCATCCGACTTCAGAGTGTACTCTTTGAGTTTGGCAACTCACCACCAGCATCCAACCAAATCTAGCGGATCAACGGCGCGTCAACTTAGTTCCTGGTCAGCTCGCGAGTTGTTGTTTGACTGGTGACCAAGCGGGCCTTATACGGCAAGCCCGGTTTCCAGGCCCTGTCTGTATCCGAAAACATGCAAATTTACGCTGAAATATCGTTCGGTTTTTTCCGAAAATGCCTTCAAAATGCTTCGGTGGGGCCCCCGAAGAAATGGTCCAAAAGGCCCCAAATCCGTTCGGAATGCTCCGGGGCGCACTAATTTTCCTTTCGGTCAGAATGGAAATATCTCAAAACAGTTCGGGCCCGAATCGGGGTGAAGAACCCTGGGGGTGACGGCGGGGATGGCGAAGGTGGCAGGGGTGATGGCGTCAGGGGCGACGGTGCTTTGGGTGATGGCTGGGATGGCGACGGTTGCTCAGGCAATGGCGACGGTGGCGGTGGAAGGGGCGGTGATGGTGGAAGGGGTGACGGCGGGTTGCTAGGGCGATGACGGGGTTGGTGACGGTGGCAGGGGAGACGGCAGGGATGGTGACGGTGGAAGGGGGTACGGCGACGGTAAAAGGGGTGATGGCGGTTTTCGTGACGGTGGCTCGAGTGACGGTGGGGTTGGTGACGGTGGCAGGGGGTGAGCGGGGTTGGTGACGGTGGCAGGGGCGACGGCGGGGATGGTGACGGTGTTTAGGGTTACGGCGGGGATGGCGAAGGTTGCAGAGGTGATGGCGGCAGCTGTGACGGTGTTTAGGGTGACGGCGGGGATGGCGACGGTTGCTCAGGCAACAGCGGGGATGCATATGGCGACGGCGGCAGGGCCGGCGCCGGGGATGGTGATGGTAGAAGGGGCGACGGTGGGTGGCACAGTTGACGGCAGGGTTGGTGACGGTGGCTCAGGCAGCACTGGGGCTGGCAGCGGTTGCAGGGGCGACGGCGGGGACAGTGATGTTGAAAGGGGAGACGGCGGGGTACTAAGGCGATGGCGGGGTTGGTGACGGTGGCAAGGCCGACGGCGGGGATGGTGACGGTGGCAGGGCCGACGGTGGGGATAGTGACGGTGGCAGGGGTGACGGCGGGGATGGCGACAGTGGCAGGGTTGATGGTGTCAGGGGCGACGGTGCTTTGGGTGATGGCTGGGATGGCGACGGCAGCTCGGGCAACGGCGACGGCGGCAGTGGAAGGGGCAATGATGGTGGAAGGGGTGACGGCGGGTTGCTAGGGTGATGACGGGGTTGGTGACGGTGGCAGGGGAGACGGCAGGGATGGCGACGGTGGAAGCGGGTACGGCGATGGTAAAAGGGGTGATGGCGGTTTTCGTGACAATGGCTCGAGTGACGGTGAGGTTGGTGACGGTGGCAGGGGTGACGGCGGGGATGGCGACGGTGGCAGGGGTGATTGCGGCAGCAGTTCCGGTGGCTAGGGCGACGGCGAGGTTGGTGATGGTGGCAGGGCCGACGGCGGGGATGGTGATGGTGGCAGGGCCGATGGTGGGGATAGTGACAGTGGCAGGGGTGACGGCGGGGATGGCGACGGTGGCAGGGTTGATGGTGTCAGGGGTGACAGTGCTTTGGGTGATGGCTGGGATGGCGACGGTTGCTCGGGCAATGACGACGGCTGCGGTGGAAGGGGCGGTGATGGTGGAAGGGGTGATGTCGGGTTGCTAGGGCGATGACGGGGTTGGTGACGGTGGCAGGGGAGACGGCAGGGATGGCGACGGTGGAAGGGGGCATGGCGATGGTAAAAGGGGCGATTGATGGTTCTGTAACCCCAATCCCCACCGGGGCCAAGCTTTACCCGTCTCCATGGAGGTGTAATAAAGCTCAACATCTTTATGAGAGCCCTGAGGTCAAGTGACGTTGCTATGTGCTTTCACGCCTAGACTTGGAGACTCTCCGTACACACCCCAAAGTTGAGTTCCCCAGATTCGTTACAAGGGCCGTTCTGTTGTTGTTAGTGCATAAGAGAACACCTGCAATACACCTAGGTGTAGGCCCCAACGTAGCAGAGTGGCAGCATGACATGCCATGGACTAAAGATAAGCCCCAGCTGCTGGTGAAATGCAAAGCCGGCATGAAGGCGCGACATGCGTGAAGTTGGAAGCAGTTTCAAGTGTACTGCCAGTCCACGTGAACTTTCGATGCCCTACAGTACAGTAGGTGCCGTGACACCACAGTACTTCCCGCTCGCTCCAGCAGTCCTGTTCAAAACCCATATCAGCATGTGTCCTAGCTTCCCTCAATTCGCCCAATAGCAAAACGGTCGTCAGGGCTGAGCCGCCAGGTCACAACCTGCCATGCAGCACAACCCAGTCCCTATCTACTCTTCCCACAATGCGTACCCAGAATGCGCGTTCTGTGGCAGTTAAGGCTTCACTACCAACCCACGCTACTGCCCTCAGGCCCACCACCCAGCACCTGGCTATCACAAGCCGCTGCCACAGGTATTGTTCAGCTACAGCTCTACACCCTGCACCGGCCACTGCCGCACCCCTCTACATACACACTGTGCACATTGCAACACCTGCACGCGATACAAGCCTTGCATCGCTCGCAAGGTAACACCTAGAGCCGCTGCCTTTGCTGTTGCACCGCAATTGCACACATTCCGTGTTCCGCTTTTCCTTTTTTGTAGTTTACACACACACACACAGTCAGTATGCACGGCAATGCATACACGTCTTTCACTAAAGTCTTCTGTTCTCAAACACAGTCACACACACACACACAATCCACCAAACAATCTGCTGAATTATATTCTGCAACACGCATTCCATCCCTGATGTCTCTTGGTCTCATACAAGCACGCCCCATGTACACACCCACACCCACACCGCCAGAGTCCAGCCACACCAGCACCACACCCAGTGGCCCAGCTCGATGGTGCCAAGCCCCTGCTGTTCATGCCCACCCCAGCAGTGGTGGACGGATGCGATGGCAGGACAGCGCAGCTTAGTGATGCCCCGTGCTGCCGGGGAGCACCTTGTCACCACCAGAAGTGCATGCGGCAGAGGCTGCGGCAGAGGCTGCGGTAGTGCTGCGGTATGGATGACTGAATGCGCAGTGCACACGGTCAAGGAGCACCAGGTGTGTGCGCCGGTTGCCTTGCTCCCTAACCCTCAAAAGGCCGGAACCTGGCCAGCAACTCCTCCTTTGTTGGGGGTCGGAAGGACTTGGGCGGCTCCTTGAACCCCAGTGGCTCGTACACCTCGGGCAGCCGCAGGAGCGACATGAAGGCCTGTGCACTCGCGTTGTCCCGCGCCGCCTCCAGAATCCCCTCATCCCCGTCAAAGCTCTCTCCACCAACCAAGCCACCTGAGCTGTCAGCACCGCTGCTGCCAGACTTTCCGTGCCTCCTGCCGCTGCCAGCCCCCGCCCAGTTGTCGGCGGCATCGGCGGCATCGCTATGGCCGCTGTCACTGCCAGCCCCCCTGCCTCCACTGCCGCTGGCGCCTCCCCCGCTACCATGGGCCCCTTCCCTGCGGCTGTTGGTGGCGCCTTGCCCACTGCTGCCAGAACCTCCCTCATCGTTCCTGGTGGCCCCTCGCCCCAAACCTCCACCGGTACTGCTGGCCTCTTCAGTCCGGCTTGTCTCCAGCAGAGCCCGTATGAACCCAAGTGTTGAGCTCAGAGGGCTCCTGTCCGCCTCTGTAGAGGGGGACTCCTTCAGCACAGCGGGAAGTGGGGCCGGTCCCGCCACGTGAATGGATCTCTTTGGTGCGTCTGCATCCTTGCGGCCGGCGTGCACCACGAAGTGTCGGTTGAGGTCACCGAACAGCACAATCACATCGTCTGCATTGGGCAGGGTATGGGAGCAGCCAGCTCAGTGGGAAGCAAGTATGGCATTGCGTGGGATGGTGTAGCACTGAAACCTGTATCGATTCCTGCACAGGCCTGTGTCAATCCAGCACTGGTGGCAGAGCATGCCAATCGGCACTCACCAGTTGGCCAGTCCTTCATCTGGTTGATCGCCAGATACTCGAGCAGCGCCTGGGCACGCACACTCGGCAGGCTGTCCTTCAGGGCCTTCTCGGTCTTGGCCTCGTACAGCGCAATGACTGAGTCAATCATGGACAGCAGCGCACTAGTCGTCGTGCCCGACGTGACGCACAGCTTATACCCTTCAAACAGCTCGGCACCGAACCGCTCCTGGCAATCCTTCCAGGCTGCCTCAGGGACGAAGATGTAGTCCGTCTTGGACGTCTTGATTACAATGTTGATGTTGCCGCAGAGGACCCTACCCGCCAGCCACTCGATGGCCTGCACGGGGAGGACCACCACATCTGCAGGGCAACAACGACATGGGATTGGGCACAGCTTTAGGAAGGTCATTAAGTGACAGGCACAGATCCCAATGACGGGTGCACAAGTCCCATGCATAGGGTTGTGCCGGCATTAGAACATTAGAACTAATATTAGAATAAATATAATTAGAATCTAATGAGAATTTTAGAAGACCCCGTTTAGAACGTATTAGAACATCCTAATGTCGTACGGACATTAGAACAGCCAGAAAGTCGTAGCTTTAAGGCGCATCAGCGGTTCACTGCGTGCATTTTACACGAAAATGTCAGATAGAGGTGCGGGGCCATCAAAGCCACCCCTTCCTCATCGGAAGGCGGAAGCATCAGGGCCAATGTACAAGTATGGCAACAAGGAACTCACGAAAGCCCGCAACAGGCTGGGCAAGGAGCGCGCCGAGAAGTTGATCTACCTCCGGCAGAACAGCAGGGTGTTGCAGAAGGGCCGCTTCGGTGCGAACGATGAGGAGGTGGTGATGAAGCTGCTGGAGGAGGCCAGGGAGTGAAGTACTTATTCATTGGCTTCCGCAGGAGTGGTTTGTGTTCGTTTCAAACCAGCGCCGTTTTTGCATTCCCCTTAGCGAGCAAGCACTCCCCGGCAGTGATGTGGTGATTTTGTGCAAATAGGGACGTAAATGGACACGTTTGGCGGCATTCTTGGTTGTTTCCGCAGCGGTCTGGCGTGGGTTTGGCTAGCAGGCACCAGATTAGCCCTTCCTCTCTGTGTTTTTGCATTCCCCTTAGTGAGCAAACACTCCCCCGGCAGTTATGTGGTGATTCTGTGCAAGTAGGGACTTAAAAGGACAGGTTTGGCGGCGTTCTTGGTTGTTTCCGTAGCAAGTCTGGCGTGGGTTTGGCTGGTAGGTACCCTCCCCAGGCACCCGACCGGAGTAAATTTAATTGGAAATGCGTGCGTTTACATCTGTGATGGCCTATACAAAATTTCAGGTTCAACGGACCCCTCCCTGAAAAGTTGTCGAGCGTCTTCTAATATTAGATCCTAATTTCTAATTAGAATCTAATTAGAAATTAGATTAGAACGGAAAACATTCTAATGTCAGGAACAACCCTACCCATGCAACCCCATATATGCGAACGAGATGTCCCACTACCACTCCTCCGGCATGCACCTGAGCATCCTGCATATGCATACTCATACCTGCTGGGGCGATCTGCTGTAGATGTTCCACTGCGCTCGCGATGGTTTTAGGCTCATCCTCACCGGCCCTTCCCCAGCTGAACCTGGGCGGCTTCTCGGGAGACCAGGGCTTCGCAAATGGACAGCAGCACGGCGCCTGAGCGGCTGTGACGTAGTTGAACCGCACGCTCACCGCCTCCTCTATCTGCTTGCGTTGTGTCGATGAGCAGGATGACGGAGTGACCGTGACTATGGGGACAGATAGCTGGAGGTTCTGCGCAGCCGACAGGCAGGGCATGCTCGGACGGAGTGGTTAGGGTGTGTTGTACAGAAAGGAGCAGTGCTCGCAGGCAAATGAGTGCACCAAAGGTGATAGCATACCCCTTCAATTGCGACCCTGCACAACAAGGGCCAACCCTCACCGTCAGAGTCGCTTGAATCTTGTTAAGAGAGGACATCACAAGCTTCTCGAATTCCAGCCGCGTCCATGCGCCTCCTGCACAGCAGCACGCAAGGATGTAGATAGCCATCAAAACTGAGCAGCACAACGTGCAGCACCATGTTGTTTATATATGTTAGACCTTGTTTGACGTCACAGCCACCCCGGGCGCCTCCTTCCGCATGTGAGCATGGAATGGCATTGCCTGTTGTAGGAGGATACGATGTGGTATAACGCACACAGCATATGGTCCTGCAAGGGGCCCCATCCCGCACTGCAGCCCCTTGCCACACTCGTGTCGCGTGCATACCCTTGGTGCATACCATGTCCCAGCACCCCGCCCACCACCTGCTGGTGCTGGTGAACTCCCCTGGTCTGCATCCCCTGTCACTTGGCTCCTTAAGACATTCCTTCGACCAAACCCGACCCATCGGTATGGCCATTTATTGTACAACACCGTTCGTTCAGTCATTCCCCATAGTTGGTGCTGGATGCAGCCAACAAGTTTTCAAGCCTTGGAATGACGGCAACTGATGCTGATGACCATGATTTTTAATGATGATGATGATGATGATGATGATGGCCGTTACAGCAGTTGATTATTGCGGCTATATGCCGCCACCACCGCCACTCGGTTGAATGCTCAGTAGTGTGAGAGTTTACCTATCATGATGTTTGTTTGCATATCCCTCCAAGTGAGAGGGCTTGGACCTATGCTGATGTTTGTTACAAGAAGTGAACTGAGGACTGATGCTACACGTCATGTATACGTGTTGCTGCGAGGCTACACCACATCAAATCCTATGGCATTCGTTCACCCTGAGGATCGGTTCCCTTCCCACGAGCACCAGGCCTAGAGGCCCTGCAATGCAGATGGGGTCTCACCGTCAGCTGCTGTGCTCCCGGGGCCCAGCCCTGCCGCCGCGCCTGCATGACGAGAACGTCACATGTATGCAGGTCAGGATTCTTGCACATCAAGCTGTATCCTGAAGAGACAGAGGCTGTGGTTGCACAATCGGGGATTCAATGTGTGCAGGTCTATGCTAAGTGCCACAATCCCGAGAAAAGACCTGCGTAAGTATTGGCGCGCAAAGCTTTTTAAGCAGCCCCTCACTCAAACGAAACGCAGGGTACGACGACCAGAATAAATACTCTGTACAACTGTGTGAAGGCCACGGCGGGCTGCGCAAAGGCCAGCTCTCAAAACCCAGGAGTGCGGGCTTTAAGCGTATGTGTGCAAAAGATGCAGGCATGCGAAATTCAAGAGCCTTCAAGAGCCAGGAGTGCTGGTGGGATACGCATATGCGTGTGGAAAATTCGCGGGCGTGTGGTGACGGACGCCAGATTGGCTGCTGTGAGAACCGGCCAGCGGGTTGCCCCCGCTACTGGGAAACACCACAGCATGAAGCGGGCGCGTCCGCATATCCCTTGGCATGCAGGAGTCCACTGAACGAGGGAACTGCTTCATGGCGAATTAAATAAATGCGAAAACAAAGAAAGTATAACACATTTAAAAAAGATAAACACCAACATAAAGGAAAGCTCGTGGCGACACGGGAAGCAAGGGACAATGTTGATTAATAAAAAAGGAAGCTTTCAATTGAGAAAAGAAACAAGGAAAACAAGAAGGAAAAGGAAACAAGAAAGAAAAAAGAAACAAGGACTTCGCTAGCTTGCTAGCTGAGAGGGTCGCAAAGAGATTCGTGGCCATGCTTCTGCGGCGGCCAGCTGCCACACCTCGTCCTTATTGAATGCTTCTGAAAGATGTACAATCAGCTTGGCATCCTGGGCCTCCTGGTCCATGGTTTGCGCGCAAGGCGTGCTAGGCACACAGTAAAGTAGCGCTTTCACAACCGATGCAAGGGCTGCTGAGCTCTGAGGTCCAGCTACTGTTTACGATCTATAGTTGTAAGCCTCATTTCTGCTGACCGCTCGTTCGTGCGTTGTTGTGTTGGGATGCGAGCGTGCTGAAGCACAACAAGGGGGCGGGGTACCCCCTGGGTACCCCCCGTTTTATGCCATAGGGCATGTCTTAGCCCATTCTTGCTCCTGTACAGCATAAAGCTGGTGCATTTGACACAGCCACACAGTCTAGACCACATCAGGCACAACCAGACACCACTACTAGTTACTTTCCTGTATATGTTCAGGCAGCAGTCTGGTGCTCATCAGGTGACACCAAGATGTATTGACCTTTTTGACATGCAGCTTGACCCTGGTTGATAGTATTCTGGGCATATCACTAGATCTGCATCCACTGTTCGGTTCTTTTCTGAATGTTGAGATAAAACTATTAATATAAAACTATTAATATAGAGCAGGTATTAGTCCAAAGGCCAAGGCGCAATACTACGACCATTTGTCTCTATATTGTTTATGTGGACTATAATATAGGTGCTGAAGAAGGCTTCAGGCGCACACACTTCATGGCTCACTTACATTGCATCTTGAGACGCAAGAGCTCCTCCTCGCGAAGTTTGAGCTTCTCCTCGCGGAGTTGGCGCTCCTTCTCGAGAAGTTTGAGCTTCTCCTCGCGGAGTTGGCGCTCCTCCTCGCGGAGTTGGCGCTTCTCCTCGCGCAAGTGAGCCAACTCATCTTTGTCCTTGCATTCTTTTAGTGCATCCTCCGTTGCCTCTATCTGCGACTCGACCTCCTGTATTTTCCTATCAAGATTCTCCATGCGCCTAACACCAGCGGAGTTGTGTAACTAGAGCTCCGACTGTAATGAACATTAAGCAGATGCTATATCTTCCTCGTAAGGACAAAGTCTCTGCTGGCGGAAAAATGGAAAAGCGGTTGCCGTACCTACAGGGATTACAGGGATTCATCGTAGGGACCTGAACATATACCCCGCCGGCGGACGGTCCCCTGTCCGCAACGCCGTACATCCTGACCGTTCCAGCGGACGCCTAGCGGACGGTCATGGAAACGATGGTCCAAAGCTCCAAAACATCTGTATGTAGATGATTCATGAGACGCTAATAATAAATGCTCCAGCTTGCACTCCTTGGCAAGCAATTAACGCGCAAAACACTCGCCAGGAGAAACTAACCCCAAAATTGTGACGCACATAGTCAAAAGGCTTCTAGCATAAAAGGAGAAAGCAATCGAAAGAAATAAGACAACATCCCAAGGCGCGCGGCGGACATTCTAATGACCTGTTTATGTAACCTGCTTAAATAACACCAACGCACTGGAATAATTGAATCATGCATTAAGGTCATTGCAATGGCCACAAGCACTGGGCATTAGTGAAAGGGATTCAGCAAAGACTGACCGTCACGCCCAACACGTCGTTCCATCCCTTTGTCGGCTCTGAATGGCACAATGAATGCTCTACTGGGTAAATGATCATTTGGCGGTGGAAAGAGGCCATTGTATGGCATCCGAGCTGGCGCACAGCTTGCGCATGTCCCCAAGACCCAACACGGCACCACGCCCCGCACCCGGTTACGCCCTTGTCCTGCATTCCACCTGCCAGCCTGTCTGTGCAACACAGCGCATGGCGGGCAGGCCAACGAAGCCATACCAAAGTTTCGTTCAAGACTGGGGTCCCAAGCTCTCAGAATCCCAGGCTGCCAGGCTCCGAGGCACATAGGCTCCCAGGCACACAGGCTCTTAGAATCCCAGGCTGCCAGGTTTCCAGGCTTACAGGCACACAGGCTCCCAGGCACACAGGCTCTTAGAATCCCAGAATCCCAAGCACACAAGCTCTCAGAATCCCAGGCTTCCAGGTTCCCAGGCTCTCAGAATCCCAGGCTTCCAGGTTCCCAGGCTCTCAGAATCCCAGGCTCCCAGGCACACAAGCTCTCAGAATCCCAGGCTGCCAGGTTCCCAGGCTCTTAGAATCCCAGGCTTCCAGGCACACATGCTCTTAGAATCCCAGGCTCCCAGGCACACAGGCTCTCAGAATCCCAGGCTCCCAAGCACACATGCTCTTAGAATCCCAGGCTCCCAGGCACACATGCTTTTAGAATCCTAGGCTTACAGGCACACAGGCTACCAGGCACACAGGCTCTCAGAATCCCAGGCTCCAAGGCACACATGCTCTCAGAATCCCAGGCTGCCAGGTTCCCAGACTCTTAGGCAAGGCTCCCAGGCTCCCAGGCCCAGGCTCTCAGAATCCCAGGCTCCCAGGCACACATGCTCTTAGAATCCCAGGCTCCCAGGTCCCCAGACTCTTAGAATCCCAGGCTGCCAGGTTCCCAGGCTCTTAGAACTCCCAGGCTCCCAGGCCCAGGCTCTCAGAATCCCAGGCTCCCAGGCACACATGCTCTTAGAATCCCAGGCTCCCAGGTCCCCAGACTCTTAGGTTCCAAGGCTCCCAGGCTCCCAGGCTCTCAGAATCCCAGGCTCCCAGGCACAGAAGCTCTTAGAAAGCCAGGCTCCCAGGCACACATGCTCTTAGAATCCCAGGCTCCCAGGTCCCCAGACTCTTAGGTTCCAAGGCTCCCAGGCTCCCAGGCTCTCAGAATCCCAGGCTCCCAGGCACAGAAGCTCTTAGAAAGCCAGGCTCCCAGGCACACATGCTCTCAGAATCCCAGGCTGCCAGGTCCCCAGACTCTTAGGTTCCAAGGCTCCCAGGCTCCCAGGTTCCCAGGCTCTCAGAATCCCAGGCTCCCAGGCACACATGCTCTTAGAATCCCAGGCTCCCATGCTCCCAGGTTCCCAGGCTCTTAGAATCCCAGGCTGCCAGGTTCCCAGACTCTTAGGTTCCCAGGCTCCCAGGCTCCCAGGTTCCCAGGTTCCCAGGCTCTCAGGCTGCCAGGTCCCCAGGCTGCCAGGTCCCCAGGCTGCCAGGTCCCCAGGCTGCCAGGTCCCCAGGCTGCCAGGTCCCCAGGCTGCCAGGTCCCCAGGCTGCCAGGTCCTCAAGCTCCCAGGTTCCCAAGCTCCCACGCTCCCAGGTTCCCAGGCTCTCAGAATCCCACGCTCCCAGGCTCCCAGGTTCCCAGGCTCCCAGATTCCCAGGCTCTCAGAATCCCAGGCTCCCAAGTAAACATGCTATCAGAAACCCATGCTTACAGAATCCCAGGCGCCCACGCTCCCACGTTCCCAGGTTCCCAGGCACACAGGCTTTTAGAATCCTAGGCTTACAGGAACACAGGCTCCCAGGCACACAGGGTCCCATGCACACAGGTCGCCGATGGCTGCGGTCCAAGCCTGGCCCCAAACCGCCAGATAAATATGCTCCTACATCTAATTGACTTAGCCGAATGCTAGTTTTAGCTTTGTTTACATTTCATGCATTTGCTGGCTCCTAGCGCTTGCATCGATGTAGCCCCCAGTATAGCACATTGCATTACATTATCCATGAAAAGATTATAAAACTTTAATTCACTATAAGCTCAGCAAATTGCAAGGGTAAAGGGCTCATCTGGACGCAGTTTGCATGCCGTGCTGCCGGCTTGCGCAAGGAATCTCTGCGCGCGCTCCACGCCCGCGCGCGCCGCGAGCACCAGGATAAACTACAACAAAATGTCTTTTGCTTCGTGCAAAAATATGTTGGTATGTGTTGGTATGTGTGCCCGGAAAGCTGTGCCGGACGGTCGACCGTCCGGCAGACCGTCCGCCATGGACGGTTCCACCGTCCGCCAGGGGGGGTATATGAACCACACATACGTGACAAGAAATAGGGGGGTCCTTGTGAAGCAGCTGCCCGCGTTTCCAAAGCACGTATGGTGTTGGATTGTAAGGTGCCCAAGTACGTTTGCGAGGAAGAGATTGTGGCCAGGCTGGAGAGGAAAGTGCAATGGCATATTGGAATGTGAGATTAGCGTAAGCGAGTTACAGGGCGTTTGGCGCACGGGCGAATTTACGTAGATGCGATTGTTACAGTGGACCCCGAACGGGTCGTGCGAATTTACGTAGCATCAGTCCTCAGTTCACTTCTTGGAACGAACATCAGCATAGGTCCAAGCCCTCTCGCTTGGAGGGATATGCAAACAAACATCCTGATAGGGGTAAACTCGCACGCTACCGAGCATTCAACCGAGCACATGCATGCTTAGTTGAATGGTGAGATGCGACCCCCCCTTCATTTCGTGCTCGGCAAGCCTGCCACCGCGTACCGGATATGTTGGCGATGTTACAGAGACGCTGCACCTTGGTTTCTGTGCGCAATGCGACCCCGCCGACCAAAACTACACGTGCCCAACTGAAGACATTCCCGGTGGTTGTGCAGCAGCTCTTGAGGCTGTTGCTGGCTGAAATCCATCCTGAGCTGTTGCAACACGGCTAACGCGGGCACGTCCCTATGCACAGCAAATAGCTGTTCCAAGCCAACAGCGGCGTCCATGTCACCGACAAGGCTCTAAACGTCTTATCTGTTCTTATGTTTAATTAAGTTTATGTATGTTATACTTTGCGCAACCTTGTAATTTGACTTTACTCTGAAAAAGGTGCTGTATGCGTTGCGCTACGGAATCCGCGCCCGTTTGCTTGCGCAAACTGCCGCTTCGCCAAACGCTTCCTCTTCCCGCGGTCGTTTCAAGCGCCCAGTCTTGCAAGCCACGTTGTTTGCTTTCTGTGCTTTCAATTACAGCAAAGCAGGCATCCCATTGTTCGGGCTGCATGCCGCGTGCGCCTGTGGCCAGCATGCCTTCCTGCGATTCGCGCTGGCGCACCGCGGTGTTTCTTCTAAGAAAATTTATATACAATTGTACACGCGCATTTTGCGAATCGCACGCGCGCATCCGCGCGTTAAAATTCGGGACTGTCTTTGGGCCATTTTGTACGGTCTGTTTATTCGGCAGAGTACGACCCCTCACATTTCTGCGAGGGGCTGCTTAACCATGAGTTATGCATTCAATTGTGTAAAGGGAATTCTTATTGAGTTGCAGCATAAGGCTCCATGGAAAGGACGGCCAAGACCTCGAGGCGAGACGGACGGCCGAGACCCCTCGGGCCGGCCGAGACCTCGGGCTGAGACCTCGGGCCGGGCTGAGACCTTGGGCGTCTATGAAATAAGTTTGCCCTGGTGACTGATTACATAGCTAGGCAGGTGCATCGTTATGCGAACTTCTCTACTGACGCATCGCGTGGAGCGCCTTGGCAAGCAAACGCCGGTCACCTAACGTCGACGCTCGCGTAGGACCTGTCGAAATGTCGTCGTAACCAGGGCACTCCATGACGACATGATACTCATCTTGAAACCCGATCCACCCTCACCCTACCAATGAGACTGTTGACCTCAATCACCCAACAGCACAAACGAAAATGAATTAAGATCCTATGATGCCGGGAAGGGATGTAAATTCCAAGGTGGCGTGAGCACGCCATTCATTGCACGTAAAGACACATTTTCAGCCCCGGTTGAGATGTCAGAAATGAAGTCCCGAGGATCCTCAAATTTGACTGACTGGGAAAACACGTCCCCTTGCGGAACGGAGGTGCTTGAAAAGCATCCATTTATGGGGTGACGAGGCAATGATGTTAATCTCTCCCCCTGCACCAAGCGAGTCGCACACTTCAAACATTCCGCCGGAGTTTTGCCAGGCCTGCATGACTCGAGCCGCTTTATGGCCTTGACCACCAGGGTTCTTCACCAGGGTACCCAAAAATTTCGGCCGTGTCCGAAATCCTCTGCATAATCTTTCGGGGCCCTCCCCGAAAAATTTCCTGTCAGCCAGAGAGTGTTTTCGGGTACCCCGAATCTGTCTGAAGCGGTTTTCGGGGTACAAATTAGCTGGATTCTACCGTTATATGCTAGGGCGGCTGAACTAACAGATGTTTTGATTTTATTTTGGTACATAGCGCCTGGGAGAAATATTTTAGCAAGGATTTTACCCAAAACCAAGGAGGCGTCGCTCCTCATCCATCTCTGCAGCAATCGCCTCCACCACACCTGCCACATCATCATCTGTCTCCTCAGACGGGTACACCTCATCACTTGCCACACTCTCGACCTCCTCGTTATCAGAAGGATAATAGGCCTCAGCAATTTCACTGCCCACACTGCCCTCATCATCACTCTCGTCAGGCAGAACACAGTCGCCCACCTTGGCAATACGGTGCAGGAGCCCATCCGGGTTCTTTTGCAACATACTCCTCAGCAGCTTTAATCACAAGGGGTTTGCATTTCATATCCACGGTTGGACCGAGTAATCCAACACGCAGAAGGGAATCAATGGACGGGACAGACAACCGGTTACGCAGCCTGTTCTTGATAATGCGGTGGACACTAAAGCCACGCTCGACACACGCTGTTTGAGTGGAAAGGTGATAGCGCGTAATAGCGGCGAGAGCCGACAGGTTACAGGACGGATTCGCTCTGTCAAGGACTGGGCTCTGTTCTAAGGAGCGTCAGAAGCGTAGACTTCTAGTATCTCTCTCACTGGTGTATCGTTGGTTTGATGTCTAATCCCAGGCTTCCTCCCGAGTATAAATACTCGTTGCTTAGGAGGCCGTAACAACTTCTGTTGTACGATGTCTCTTCAGATCTACATTGGTTGCTCGAACCGATGAGTCCGTAGGTATCTGAAGTGCGTGTCATTCCTTGGTAAGGAAGCACGTCTGAACTCTTAAGATATCCGTAGACTGTTCGTTCAGTCTTATCAAGTCGTGCCTTAATCACGCAGCGATTAAGTTCTGTAACGCTCTAACGCGCTACAACAGAAGGACACAAGCGACATACGCCAACTGAATCAAGCGTGGAAAGAAGTGGACCCACTGACGCATTCCAGCCCAGGCCCGCTCCCAGGAGGTGCGGCCCAGCTCCAGCTGCAAGGCCATCTTAGACTTCATAACTGAAAACTCTTTCTGCAAAACGTCAAGTTCGCTGACATCGAAGGCAAACAGGCGGTTAGAGCTTGCCGAGTGGCAAAAGTGTGCTAGCAACTTCACGAACTCCTTACGGCCATAGCCACGCCGCTCTTCCTCAGACATCCTCACATATGTAGCAGGATCAAAAATACGAAAGCCCTTCAGAAAGCTCAGTGTCTCCAAAACGTGCATCCAAATGCTTCAAAATGAAACCCACAAACCGACAAGCAACCGACAGCTGCTGACAAATGCTACAGCCACCAATCGCGTGGCCTTGCTTATTTTGCCGGTTTGCTGCCACCAGGGATACTTCTCCGCAAAGGCCCAATGTCAGAGACAGACGCCTCTGGTAGCTTGCCTGACAAGTCGACCACCTCAGGTGCAGCCTGAGCAGGCGGGGGTTGAGCCACCATTGGCTGCCCAGATGCTGCTGCAGTGTATAACAGCGATTGCTGGTTAGTTTTCTGACTACATTCATAATAACGATGCAAGACTGTCGGTCGACAAAACGTTTGAAATTTGCAGCGACCTTATCGAAACTTACAGTAAATGTTCACTGAAAAATGTTCAGCAGCTTTGCCATTAGCAGCAGGAGTAGAAGTGACTGGGGATTTCTCTGCATACGAAAACTGCCCCTAGGTAAGAGCAGTCACACGAGCCGCGGTACCCTCCATCGCTGTGGGAATCGAACCCACAACAGCCACCAGGTGTCGGATGAAAATAAGTTCATCCTATCCATGCCCAGCACATCCTTCACCGCCGCCCACTCCATGCACATCACCCCCGCAATGCCTGTACCTCTGGCGCAACCCCAACCGTGTGTGGGGCCCTTCCTTTGACAGCACCGCCGGGCCCATATTGTGTACACATCCTAAAACGTTTGCAAGCTGTGGCAGATCTCACCAGTACTGCTCAGCAGTAGCAGTAGCAACAACGCTTGCAACGAAATACCTACCTTCCACGACCGGCACCTGCTCTTCGAGGACGACCTGCACAACGGGGAAGGGAGAGGGGAAAAGCAAAAGCGAGCTCATGTGCTTGCAACTAAGTGCTCACCATGGCTGCCACCGCAGCCCTTTCAGGTGTATGGATGCAAGAAAGAGGATCAGCAACATTCTTGCAGCCCGGCCGGTACTACCACGTGTAGTGGAAGCGGCACAGGAACTCTTGCCGCCGTGCTTGGCGTCGGGACAGGTCCTTCTTGGTTTCAAACCAGATGTTCGGGTGGTGGTCCGTGACCATCATGAAGGTATCCTGTGCGGTCTCAAGGTACAGGCGCCACTCCTGTGTAGGGCATTGAGTACACAGGAGCTCTTGCTCTGTGGTAGTGTAGTAGACTTCGGCAGGTGTGAACTTTTTGCTGGTGTAGGCGACCGGGATGTCCATCCTGCAGCAGCGCACCGCCTGTGCTGTAGATGCTCGTGTCAGTTACGACTTTGAAAAGGGTTTGGTAAGGTCAGGAAGGCGCAACAAGGGGCGTTGACGAGGGCGTTTAATTTTTAATGCCGTCGAATCCTGTCGGCCATGGAAGTCGGCGGATGCTGCCTGAGGGCAACTGACTGGGTTGTTGCTGGGCATGTTCGTGTTGCTCGTGTTGTTGGTATTCTCTTCTAAGTGGCGCGGCGCTGAGTCTGCTGATGTATTATCACGGCGTCCTTGGTTTTGGAGACTGTGCCGGGCCTGATTGTACGGTTCTGGCTTCAACGCCGGCCTGTGACCAGCATCGGTTCCGTGCCGACCATGCTTTCCAGCGTGGTCGCCGTGGTTAATCTTGCGTTGCTTGCGCGGCGGGTCCGCAAATGTTTCGTGGCCGTCTGCGACTTCGCCCGGCAACTCGCCATCCTCAAGGTCGCTACCGTTATCCATCTGTGTTGGATTGACCCATACTAGATGACTCGATTTTCCTCCTTTCTCAACAACACCACTTACTACTAAGTAGGACTACGTCCCGATCACCAGAGTCCAGGGAGGGAGACCAGAGTCCTTGATGCAACGCTTGCATTTTTGCTCGTACAGCCTGGCCGTACACGAAGAGACAGAAACAATGGCAACAACTGGTTGGTCTTGGATTACGGCACTGTAGTACACACATCTACATCTACATGTACATCTACATCCATCCATTCATCGATACATACGTGCTGTACATATAATTATGTATACATATACTATGTCTGTATATAAAATACATGCTATACATATACACATATTTTGCTATTATCTATATGTACATATGCCGTACATGTCATATAGTTTAAGAGCTGTCCGATTATTCCAAACGAACTAAAATTGCCCAAATGCCTTGAAGCCGAGCGCGCCGAGTGCGTTTAGGGTTTCGCTTTGTGGGCAGGAAAGACGCAGACACCCAGCTCCAGGGGGGAGAAGGCACGAAGGTCGAGGAGGCCAAGCCCGGCCACAACAGGACGCGCCGGACTAGAAGGCGGCGAGGAGGCTTTCCTCCCCTTCCCTCCCCGGAATGCCGCCATCCACACGCAGCATTCCTACCGGCGCGGGTGTTCACGTTTTGGAGCTGCTGGCCCATACCTGGGGGCTGCTGGCCCTGGTCATCAGAGCTCCAGGAATGGCCCCCAGGTATGGGGCACCCCCAATGTTACGCATTAAAGGAGTTGTAACGCAACTCCAGGAGGTGTAAAACACACACACACACACATTTACATACATACAAACATACACAGCATTACTACTAGCGAGGAAGGGAAAGCACGAGATAGACTTTGCGCTATTGGCATCTTTTGTCCAAAAGAGCAGCTGCAGGCTTCTTCTGCAGAATGAACAGAGACAGCGACCGCAGCAACAGCCGCCATAAGAAAGAGCTGCAAGTACGACAGGGTCCCAACGGTTCCAGACACGCACCACAAAAATACAGACATACGTAGACGAACACGTAAATGCAACGTGGTTAATGCATGCATGCACGCAAGTACATACCTGTCGTACTCTGCCGTATCACCAGCCCCCGTCGCGATGACGAGCATGTACCGCGGCGGCATACCCTCCCACAGCCGCTGTAGCCGGCTGTCGTACAAGACCAACAATTGATCAAATACGGCATCCGAGTAATCGGGCGTGGCTCTGTAGCCACCGGTTGTCGGACCTGCCGCATCATCCAGTCTGCCGTTCATGGGTGCCGTACATGACCCTGCCGCGTCAGCCGGACATCGACTTGGGTTTATTTTACTTGCCGTTACTGCTACGGCCTCTGCTGCTGCAGCTGCAGTAGCTGTAGCCGGAATCCGTGTCTTCGCTATAATCGTACCAGCCACAAAGAAAGACAACCTGCTTACTCGTCACTGTTTGTTTGTCTGTCTGTCTGTCTGTATGAATGTTCATCGGGAGGACGCAGCCGGCGATTTCGTATTTCTTACCTCCAAAATCCATAGCTCGCTGCGAACGACTAAAGCGAATTTGTAGCTTAGATGCGGCAGGAGCAAAGCGAGTATAGCCTCTAAGCTAGGTTATGTAAGGCAGCCGTATGGCTTGCTGAGATTTCGAATTTACTATTTCAGCTGACAGCTCCATAGTTCCGGCATTCTGCCTACACTATTGGAGCTTATTATTGTTGCTCTCACTCCCCCCCCCACGCCCTCAGTGTCCCTCGTTTATAAGCGGCAGGCTCGGCCCAGTTGGAGACCTGGTGATTAGGCAGTCCCTCGGAGCGCCAGACGCACAGCTATACAGCGATTACCGCACGGCAAATAAGTGCCTTTAGAGTATCGTTGCGCGCTAGGAATGTCGCCTGGCCAGCCCCGCTGGCCAGGGTGCGGTTCGTGCGTCGCTGACGCTTCAGGTTTGCCCTCGGGGCGGGTGACCAGTGGACGCAGTCATTAATGCTGCGTTTAGTTGTCTAGTGCTGTGCGTCAGTTCTTTCGGCCGTGCCGGTGTGGCCGCGCTGGACAGCGCTGCGTGCGCTCAGACCGCGCCGTGTGGCGCTAGACTGCGCTTCGGCGCACACGCGCCCTGGCGCTCCGAGAGCAGCAGTAGTGTAAGGCCCTTGGCAGCCCCGGTTTCGCCTCGTCCTGTCCTATCCGGCACCCCGAACGAAATCGTACAGCAAGCCATGAAGGCTATAGGACATAATCGACAAATGAAGGAGGTCAAAACATGGATCAAAAAATCTTTTCCCGATGCCGTTGACCAAAAAATATTTGGATTTACCCTGATTTTAAGGAGGAGGAAATCCAGATGATGCCTGAAGGGCACCAGGTGAAGAGGTCCACAAACCCGGACGGAAAGAAAGAAACCAAGCCCGGTCACAACAAGGCTGCGGAAACTGCGGCACAGCCCTGGGTGCGGATGAGGATAAGGATAAACAACACAACCGAAAGTCCTAGAAGCTAAAACGACCTTAACCGTTTCCTGACAAAGGAAAAAGTGACAAGCGACACACACACACACACACACACACACACACACACACACACACAACGCAACAGACAAAAGACTCTTCACTAAAACAGAAAGCGTGCGCACGCGCCACAAACTCCTCTTTAGCATTTTATCCCTCTCGTAAGGGAAACGGGGGGTTTTAGATCTCAAGTGGTGTACTGCTATGTGGAGGTTGGTAGGGCGGACGAACGATAATGTCGTACAGATCGAGCGTTACATACCTTCGGAACATGAACACCGCCAGCTCCGTCAGCTGCGTCCACACCAATCCGTACGTACGAGAAGCCGCCTGGCGGCCCGCCGTGGCGACGGCGTCGTCGTCACTCGCCACGGGTACCGCCGCCGTGCTACCAGTCACGAACCTATCTCACACCCCCACACCCCCGATTCGCCCGGGGTGAGTGGGGCGGGAAAAGCGCGGTTAAGGGGAGGGGGAGTTAGGGTTTTAAATGAAGTGAAAGGTTTTGGAGTGACCCTTATACGTCAGGCCAGCGAGGCCCACCGACCCGCGGGTCGGTCCTACCACCGTTATCACGCTTTTAACCTTTGGAAAATTTCTGGACATATTCCTGGGCAGCCCGTACCCTACCTGCCCAGCACGTCATGCCGATCAACCAAGCAGCTTCGTGTGCCGCACTGCGCCGCGAGCACCTCAGCCAGCTTGGGGGCGGAGGTGTGGGGACCGGAGTGACCCCTGCCGTACGAGGGACCTGTTGCGGGGGGCGGGGGAAGAGGGGGGGGGAGATGGTGCGGGAGGCGCGAGAGGGGGTTACAGAAAACAGGGCGCTTTGGAAATCATCAGGTAGCCCATCCAGCTTGGACTTTATTGAACCAATTCCACCCCCTCCCCCTCCTCTCGCGGGCCCCTGCCCTACAAGCCGTCAGCACACGTGCCGTGTTTTATGCTGTTTTGTGCTGTGTGTGTATGTGTGTGTGTCCACCGCACCCTCCCCCCTAACCACCCCAACCTCTCCCCCACCTTGAGCGCGCTCTTGAAGGGTGGTCCCTTAGGGTGCGGGAACAGTACGGCAGTGTCCAGTATACGGCCGTGACACGTCCGCAAGGCGGCCAGGTCGTTCTCAAGCGCGTGACCCACCAACAGACATTCCGATGACACCAGTGTCAGGAAGCGCTCCTTTGGGGGGGGAGTTGGTAGGGTTTTGGTGTGGGGGCCCAGGTCCCGAAACCGGGGGAGGAGGATGGGAAGAGGAATCATCATATACGACAGAAAGAAAAAAGAAAGAGTTAGCAAAGCGGCGAGAGATGTCGACACGCCAAGGGGACGTGTGGCAGTGCGGCAGTGCGTCTAGGCTTTCCAGCCGGGCCTCTTCCCGCGTCCCCACTCACCCGCACATCCTCCAGTCGATTGGTACAGCCCTGCATGATCATACAGTTGTGGCTCATTGAGTATGTCAGCTGGGGTGATCAAACTTGAACTTGAAAGGAGAAAGCGGAGGCACAAGAGAAAGCGGAGGGACAATCTTGAAACACACACATACCCATACACACATACAGACACACACGAGCACCTTTGGTCTACCAGCCCTCCCCCCTGACCTCCAACATCTTTGACGTGATTCCGCTGTACCGCGTGTTGTAATCCAAAATTGGATTATGAGGAAGTACGAGCTCGTCCATCAGTACGGCGCCGCTGGGAAAGCCGGTCTTGCCGCCGCCGGTGCTGCTGCTGCTGCCGCCGCCGCCGCCACCCACAGACCTCCGTCCGCTGCGGCTAAATCCTTTCCCTTCCCCTTCTCCTTGGCCGTCATCATCGTCATCATCATCACCATTATCGTGTTGCTCTATATCACCACTTCTAACGCCGTCAACGCTGCTGATGCAGCCGTTGGCGGCGTGGCCGTTGCGTCTGGCGGCGGCGACGGCGGCGGCAGCAGCAGCGCCCGCCGCCGTGCCCGGCTCCCATCCCGGCCCGGCCACCAAAGTAATCCGCGTGAGTTCAAATCCCGCTTCCGTGATGCACATCTCACAGTCCAACGCAACCATTCGTTCGCTGGCCGTCGGGTCACCTGTACGACGGAGGAATGCTTTTAGGGGACTTTCAAAAATTCAGGGCATCAGGGCATCAACTTATAAGCTAGATTTTCCAACTTACTTTTCAAAGACAGCGACATCCACACAAGCCACGTAAGCAGTTTTGCACCGAACCCGCATCCTGTTTAGGTCCTTATTACCCGAAGGTCGCGTCGCCACAAAGCCCGGAGGACATACAAGCCGCCTCTGCGGGCCTCTCCGCGCGCCGCCGCCACCTTCTTCCTCCCCTCCTCGTTCCTCTCCCCCCGTCCCCTCTTCACCCTCCTCCTCCTCCTCCTCCTCCAAGTACGGCAACGGGTAGTTATGTTGCTTAAGCTCGTCCAATGATGCCACGTAGTGCGAGGGCGGGAAGGGACCTGGAGGCAACTGCACCGACGGCGGCGGTGGCGGCGGCGGCGGAGCCCGACCGCCTTTCCCTCGCCGTTCCGCCGCGGCACCTTTTGGCGGCGCAAGGCTAGCAACCGCCGCCGCCGTCGCCGCCGCTGACCCGCCAGCGGTTGCTTCCTCCTTGTCCTCCTCCCCTCCCCCGTCCTCCGTGCCTTCCACTGCGCCGGCGGCGGCACCGGCGGCGGCGGACGGCGCGGATCTCTTTCGCTTGGCGTTACGTTGACTTAACTTGGTTGTTAGGAGCTCCGTTGTGTTGTGAGCTGAAGGGAGGGCAGGGATACGGGGTCGGGGGGGAAAGGGGGGAGACGGACCACGAAAGGGGGGGGAAAGGGGGGGACAGAGCTGTTCACGGAGTTCAGGAGGGTCTGTCGGGTTTTAGAGGTTTATCTTCTTACTGAAAGGCATGCGAAGTCCGGGGGCGAGGGGAGATATGACAGAGCCCCCATTCCGCCGCAGCAGCCGCAGGGAACCCGTCACCACAGGCTTTGAGTCCTGTAGACCCCCTGTGAGTCCCCCTTTTTCCCGGCCCTCTTTTATGATGTGGGTTTTGGAGGGGACGAGTGAACATTCACGTGTTGTGAGTTACATCGCCTTCAAAGGGATTAAAGCTAAACCGGATTCGACAATAGCTCTGCTAGTTATTTCTGAAGAGCATGGGTTTATATATGTATATAAGGAAAACCTTTTTGTTTATCAGATCCATGCATTGTTGCCCTTGATGACTGAATTACTTACTATGATTTCACAAGTCATGATGCGGTTTCTCATTCTTCCGAGATCGAGACTCCCCCGTTTTTTATCCTGCCCGCGCCAACCGCGCCCCCCGGGGCCCCCTTCCCACAGCCCAAAGCTCAAGCACACCCTCCCCCCGCCCTTTCCCCCCTACCGGGTTTAGCTTGCGGCGAGGTGTGTACGACAGCCGGTCGACCCAGGTTCGACAGAAACGGCAGCAGGTGCTGTGGGTTGGTGGTGGGGTGCGTGGGCGGGGGTGGGCGAGGTAACCGCCAGGGGTGGGGGGGTGGGGGGTGGGGGGCTGGGGAGGTAGGGGGAAAATAAAAACCCAAATCCAAGTCCATTCAACAACGTGCAGTACAGCGAGCAGTGGTTTGGAAGATGGACAAAGGGAATCGGACACGCCGTGGAAACACACACACACACACGCACACACGCGTGCGGGGGTAAAAACACGTCCCAGCAGGGAAAGGGATGTCATGTGCCGAATAAATAAAAACACATTCAGTTTATTTTAATGAAACATTAAGTTTATGAAACAGCACGGTCAGTAACCCCCTGAGTAAGCCCTTCCCCCCGCTTATGCGTGTGCTTTCAACAGCACCAGAAACAGCAGGACGTAGACGCGAGGCCGGCCCCGCTGCGCTGCAGCTGTGTTTCGGCTCCCCGTCAGGGCCAACGACGGTGCTCGTCGCCCTTTCTCAGGGCGAGCTTTGCCCACACAGTGTAACATCCCCTCACCATCAACACCAACATGAACAGTAGCAGCAACAGCTGAAACAACATCAACACGCGCCAAAAGTTCTTGTAAGCGAGCAGCGCTTCCCCCCACTCCAATCAAAGAATGCACATACGTTGCGTGGTTAAGGAACGAAATGCTACAGAAATTAGTAAAGTGCCAAAATCCTAAGATCACTATAGAAGAGCCAACTACCAACCACCAACCAGCATTCTAACCGTTAACCGCCGCCCACCCACCTGCTTTTCCTTCATCATGGCGCTGCTCAAGCCCGAGGCCAGCACCAGCACCACCCCCTGGACCAGCGGCTTGTTCTGCAATGTGGGTTGCCGTACAGGTGCCGTACAGGTGAGCCCCGATAAGGCGGGGGTTACGCCCAAAGGAAGGACGGGCAGCACGTGTCTGTTTACACATGACCAGAAAACACACACGCGACACGCCGTGTACCCGAGATGCGCTCCACCTTTCGACCCACCCACCGCCTCCACCGTTTTCCTCCCCCTCTCCCTCCCCCTCTTCCTCCCCCTCTCCCTCCCCCCCCGTCCTCCCCCCTCACCTTCACAAAGGCCCACCTGGGCGACTCCACCAGGTTGCCCGCGGGGGAGAGCACCCACATCACGAGGGCTTGGACATCGCGTAGCGCGATAGGGTGGGGGGAGGGACCGCCGCCGGGGGCGCCCTTGATCTCCACGCTGGGTGTAGCCTGAGGGCGGCAAGAGGGAGGGGTTGGGAAGACGAGCCACGTGAACGAGTGAAGCTGATGCCACGGAGGACAGACTGATACGAAAAGGGGGCGCAGGGAAGGGGTGTTCAGAGGAACCACTGACGATTTAAGCAGAGACCAGGAGAAGGGAAAAGCGGGGGGAAGAGGGGGGAAGGGTGGTATGAGCAATCGATATGCTGTGCGGTGCGGAGGGAGCAACGTGCAGACAAACAGACAAACGAACAGACAAACAGACAGACAAACTAACAGGCAGACAGACACGCAGACAGACGTGTTGAGAGTTTGAAGGAAATGTGTGCCACCAGATCGACGCAAGACTGTTGTGTCTATTTTCCCACCCCACCCCCCACCCCACCCCACAACTGGCGGCCGAGAGAAATGGCGACGGGGTACACGCCAAACACAGCCAGACGGACAAACAGACAGACAGACAGGTGAACGGACGGAAAGACGAACAGATGGATGGATGGATGATGTTCCGAGTGGGACAAAAAGCCGCATACCCACTTACACGCACACGAGCCCCTGCGCGTCCTTCAATAACCCACCTCCTTATACACCTCCGCCACGTACTTGCCACCCCCTGCCGCCTCCGCTGCTACTGCTGCTAGTGCTGGTGTTGCTACAGCCGGCGATGCATCGATGCCCTCGATTTGGTGTGGAATGAAGGGTCCTTCATGAAGGTATGAAGGGTCCTTCATTAAGGTATGAAATGAGTGTGAATCGCATATAGAATGAAGGCTCCAGGTTCCCAGAGTGTATTGCCCTGATTACCAGCCGCCGCCTCCGCTGCCTGTGCGTCTTGGTGCTTTTGGTCAGGTATTGAAGCAGTTTTCTATAATAGTTCAAAGGTCTGGTGTGTAAAGTGGCGATAACCGTAGCGGTAGTTGATCTGGTTGACCATTTCGAGCGATGGAGGTGAAGATGGATGTAGAATGTTACGATGACAGCTCCTAGGGCGGCACAATGGACGTCGCAACGGCGTTACAGCACCCCTACCTCCTTTGGATGACTTGGGCAATTCGTTGGTGAGTCCCTACCAAGTACCAACCAAATTTCAGCTCTTGGTAGGGGTTTCAGCAGGGGTATGGGGATGTGTCCTAATCAGGTACAGGGAAATATAGCAGCAGCACAGGGCAGGGGGCGGTGCAACAATCCTGCGGCAACCCGCAACCCGTCGATAGGGTTTTCCTCCGCTGCACAACCCCCTGTTGTTCCCATAGCGCTGTTGCACTTTTTTCCCCGCGTTTTCATCCGCCACGCCGCTGCCATGGCGCCGCAATCTTGGAATGGGCGAAATCGTGGCTGTTATGCCACCCAAGAACCTGAATGACGTTGGCGCGAGTCGGCGAGGCGCACGGCTCCGGCCGCACATCTGAAAGACTGGTGTGGCGTCGTCCTCGGGCGCTCATGCTCATGAGAGGTTGCATGGCTGTTCAACTATGTTGGAAATGTAAACGGCTGCAGTATGAATTACTTACAGCAGTTCGCATCTGGTTCCGGTTCATGAGTCTTTATGATATGTTCTTTTATTTGTCCAAGGAAGTTGTCACTTAGCCGGTAGGGCTCAGGTTGTAGGGCTCAGGTTGTCCCGTAAGGGAGGGAACGAAGAGACGCTGGATCACAGGAGTAACAGTGCCAGAGGGTGAGTTCGAACCAGTATGGCATCGATGCCACGCTTTACAGCGTTATCATGGAGATATAATATTAAGGATAAACCTTGTATGAGGATTTTGGTCGAGGCATTTATGGGTTTAGTTAAAGCGGAGCCTGAACGTCTCCAAATCCGTTTGCAACTGCTTCAGGCTTCAGGCAATCAAGTCGTGACAAAGCATACTTGACATGCCCTGCATGGTAAGGCCAGCCACCACTTTGTACTGGGGGACCAGGCCTTGCGCTCGCTCGCTCGTCCAACGTACGGTGGTTAGGCGGAAAAAACAACAAGCCGGTTCATTCCTTATAGTTTGGAAATCTCAATTATTTCTTTGCTTCGTCAGTTAAATATAACCTATCGCTCGTAATAGTCTTGATTTCCAGCACCAGCTCAGGAACTTCGAAGGCATTGCGGGTTTATAGCTTTTAAAATCAGGCTTTCTATAATAATTATTTGCAAATTGTGAGCTCCTACTGTCCCTCGATCATTTCATATTACCCATCGTGCGCGTATCCTCAGTCTTGATACTGTCTGCCTTCCCAGGGAATGAGCAATTCATAATTAACATACATTGCTGGAGCGTGTACATCAGGCCACAGTATCGTTGTATTGTGAAAGCGCTGGCCTTCGATGGCCGACGTTGATAACCAAGCCGGGCCAGGGCCAAGGTCCTGGGCGGAGGACGTCAAGACATACCGCATGTCACGTGGAAGCAGGAGTTTCAGCACTATCCTGGGTGCAGAGGTTCCAGCCAGGTGAGGCTCAAAGTCAAGGCGCGGCTTTGCCTGCTCGCAAGCGCCCTGTGCAGCCCTTTCCAAAAGCAACTACTGATTTCGAAGTCGCACATCGCATGCATTCGACATAGCGCATGTGCTGTAGAAGTCCAATATTCGCTCCCATCGCGTTACCGTACAGGTACTGTCGCACAAACTATGTGCCCTTCTGCGACACGCGACACCCCCTATTCCCCTACAACGACTTCATTGATGGGAAAGGTACGCCCTTCCCGTACCTTACACACACAACCCCTAAAAAATCCACTACGCTAATCCACGTAACACGACCAGCATGTGGCACACCGAACAATCGCAGAGAGCATAAGAAATTATCTACAACCATTTGTTACTTCTACGGTATCTATAATAATTGTTGAACAATTGCAGGTTCTGTTCGAATAGACCCAACCATCACGGCTGACCGGTACACTCGCCACGGCTGGGGTGACACCTCCCTGCTCAAAGAGGAAGGGGAGCCGGGGCCCGCACGAAGACGAACCATTAGCGCCCATGTGCAGGGGAAGGCACGGCCGCCGTCACCCCACGGCGCGGATGGCCGTACCAATCTGACAGGCGTCTTGCAGGTACACGCGTGTGTCTGTATGTGTGTGTGTGCGCGCCTGTTTGTGTGTCTGTATGTGTGTTTGTGTGCCAGTGGCATGGACAGCTAGAAGGGTAATGCAGTGTTGCGTGCATGTCTTTGCGTCCTTCACGCATTCGCTGTCTCTTTGGTTGTTGATGCCGGGTTGTGGTCTCCTCTGTGTTCCGCAGCACGTTTTGTGTCATGTCCTGTACGACCATGACCACCATCACCATCAACACCATCCTTCCCTTCCTTCCCTCCCTCTCGCCCCCTTTTTCCCGCTCAGATGACCGAGGCGGGCGGTGTGGACACCTGGATAGGCAACCCCCTCGTACACCCCAGCGCGGGCAAGAGGGTCGTACGACCTCCCGCGGACCCTAAGGGTCGCCGAGACCTCTTTGACGTCATCCACTGCCGTGCCCCGGGTGAGTGAGTGAGTGAGGCTGGGGGGGGGGTAGACCGGAGGGGGGGGAGAAAGGTGAACCAGGAACGGGGGTGTAGTGGGGGTAGTAGTGGCGTGCACGGCGGGGCGGGCAGTGGGGGAGAGAGATGTTGTCCTGGAGATGACGGGGAGCTGGGTGGCACACATTGTGGGGAGCGGAGAGAGGGGGAGGAGTGGGGGAGGGAGGAAGGGGTATCTACCAACGTGCAAAATAGCCAAGGCATCATTCAACTGCCGAGGCGTCCAGATGTGATGACGTAATTTCGATTACGTAGTTCGTCCAACGGAGAGGAAAGCTTGCGTTTTAGGTTAGGGAGAGCGGTGGGGAGGGTGCGGTTCTCCACCCGCCATTGCAGCTCCTATAAGTGCCTCCTCCTCCTCCTCCCTTCCCTCCTCCTCCTACTCCTTCGCCACTGCTGCTGCCATCGCGGACACCAACCCCTCTTGGCTCCCCCCTCGTCCTTGTCTCTCCAGGAGCGCCCTCGGACGACGCCTGGCTGGGGCACAAGCTGATCGACCCCGCAAGAGGTCGTGTGGTACCCCCCGGCCCTGAGCAGTTGCGGGGACGTGCTGACCTTCGGGACATCTTCTCAATGAGCATTCTCACCGACCCGAGGTGCGGCCGCAGGGGGCGAACTGCTGCTGTTACTGCTGCTGCTGTTACTGCTGCTGCTGCTGCTGCTGTTACTGCGGAGGGGGGTTTGATGCGTTGCTGGGTTTTGGTGTTTTATTGACCCATGGGTCCGAGGGTTTTATCAACGTGGTGGCGTAAGCTTTCCGTCTGTTTGTCTATTTGTCTGTCCATCCGAGCGTCCATGCATCGATCCTTTTTATACAGGTCACACCGCATCACATCACATCATATCACGTCGTATATCACTTCGCATCGCATCATGCTCTTTGCGTTGGACGTGTAACTCACGTGGCTCCCTAAACGCTGCCTGGGTCCCTCGGTAGGAGGCTGGAGCTGCTTCAGAAGGGCGCCGACCCCCTGGGGGATGCTTGGTGTGGCAACAAGTAAGAAGCTTGCGGTGTCCGGTGGCGCTGTGTTGGGCGAGGGGGAGGGGGGCAGGTTGAGAAAACACAGGAAGATGCAGTGGGTGGTGGGAAACAGGAAGCGCTGAGATGAAGAGATTGGGTTCAGGGACTTGTGTGTACCGAACAGCACCAACAGCTAGGTTTAATCATTGGCCATCATCACCACCACCGCCACCACCATCATCACCACCACCGCCACCACCGCGCGCACCGCCTCAAGAGCACCTTCTAGCACTTTAGGGGTGCGCATCCAGCACCAACTCTGGCTACCAACTACCAACTGCTAACAACCAACTGCCACCGGACATTGTCCACCATGTCATATGTGTATTCCATTACACAGCCAGCATAATCGTCTTTCCTTCCCTTCCCGGGGGGAGCCGCAATCCCGCACAATCCCGTTCTAATCCCGCACAATCCCGTTCTAATCCCTCCCTCCCTTTCCTCCCCCCGGCAACTCCCCTTCAGGCTCATAGACCCCGCTAAAGGACGCCGCGCGCTCCACAGCAGCCCCGCAGCAGTTCAAGTTCTACACGGCTCCACTTTCCGGCCCGAAGCTTTCGACAAAGCCGTACCGCCGCCGTACTGCGACCTGCCCCCACGTCAGCACCACTACGCGCCGCCGCCAGCCCAAGACGCCACCGCGGCTGCCGTCATCTCCGGGCAGGCTCCCCCCATCGACGATCTGGGCCCTATGGGCAAGAAAACCTTCCCTGAACTGCCAGCTCCCAACCGATTTGACGGACGGCGAGATCTGTACGCGCACATGACGTACAAACCGTTGACGGGCGACGAGCAGGCCAAGTACCGGCGCGCATTTGACGACACTGGTATCCACGGTCGGCGGGTTGTGCCGGTACCCGGTTCCGACGACCCCGCGAAGGGCCCTGACATGTTGCAATGGAAGCCGGAAGCGCGTGTGGCCCAGTTTGTGCCTCGAGGGGGACTGGCGCAGGAGGGCCGAATCAAGGCTAGCAAGCTGCGAGGAGCCAAGGGGCGATGAGAGTTCGGTGTGGGGTGTGGGGGAGTTGGGGTGGAACGGGGGGGTTTGGAGGACAGACAGCAACGGATGTTGTCTGTGGCGTGCGCATAGAAAGGAGGAGGGGAGGAGGAAGGGGGCTGCAGCACGGCGATGTGTGGCGTTTCGGGTCATAGGATTTGCTTGCATGTCCGAGCAAGGCGGGGCGGGGAGAGAGCGGGGAGAGAGCGGGTCGGAAAACGCTGTGGGGGTTGCGGCCCCTGGCTACCCCCAGGGGATCGATTTCCTCCCTCTTTTTCCCCCCATTTCTCTCCTTCACTTCCCCCAACCTCTCTCTCTTTCTCGCACACTCACTCTTTTCTCTACCTCTTTTCTCTCTCCCTTGCTTGGGGGGAAAGGGGGGATAAGTAGCTTTTGGGCTTTTGGGGAGCGGCAGGTTTGCATGTCAGGTTTGTCATACGTGTTCAAGGCGTGTACGGCGTTGCGTCACGTGTGTGTGGGGGGGGAGGGGGTGGAAAAGAGGGTTACGGTGCAGGTTTGAACATGTGGTTTTGGTGTGTGAGCCTGTGGAGGCCGTTCATCTGTTTACCCATCTGTTTGTCTGTCTGTTGGTCCACCTAATCACCATCGCGTTATTATTTATCTGGCCGTATCTGCTGCGGGGTTTGAAGTGATCGAGAGGTTGGCAGTTGGCAGTTGGCGGCAGCAGGTCGACTGGAGGTTATGCTTGTACGCACGGACGTATCCGCGAGATTTGCATGCTTGTGAGAAAAAAAAGGTCGGAAAGGGGTTTTCCTTGGTACGCATGCATGTATGGATGTACGCATGTATGGATGTATGGATGTCCAAAAGCCCTGAGTGCCAGGGTGATGGCAGGATGCCGCTTTATGTCACGGTTATTTATGCGGGTTGCGGACAAGTTGTGTGGAGTAACAGAGTAGTCAGGATTGGCAGATGGGAAGGTTAGCTCGTTAGCATTATCACAGCACTTAACTTGGATAGGTACTGCTTTCTTTGGGAATGGCTCTTTCGGCAGTTGTGTCGGCAGTTGCTCACCCCTTAGCGGACTTCATCAACGTTACCTAGGAAACGCATGTATGCGCCTCGATGGTTAGTACTCTCGTATGACATCATACATCTGACTTGCACATTTGGGTATCGGTAACTTATTTCTGGAGTACGTAGCTAGTAGCTACACATGGCAGGCGATAACCGGAACTAATTATTCGTTCTTTGCGCACTTTGAAAAGTCAAAATGCGAACAAGCTTTTTTGACCCAGATGGGCATCATGATCAGGGTTGGTCATTGTGATGGTGGGTACATCGTCTTTCACCGCATCCTTGAGAGCAGCAGAAACCTACACGCGTACTGTGCAGCAGCACTTTTGAGAGCGAGGAGAGGCCCTGTGAGACCTTCCTGTCCCTATGTATATGTGATGAAACTGGGGTGCAACTGTAACAAAGCTTGCAGTTGGCAAGCAGTTGCGAAAAAGGAAATTATCCAACGATAAAGGTGGTATTGATAAATACCGTTTGGTATTGGAAGATTATGAATAGTTCTTGGATGTACCGTTGGTACGATACCGTTGGCCCGGTGAGCCAAGGGCCGCCTTAGCGGCGTTACATTCCCCCCCTCTTGAATGCGAACCCGTCCTCGGGGCGCCTTGAGTGAGGTGGATAATTAGGGTAGCGGTACGCCTTTTGCGTACAGTTTTCCATGGTAAGCGCGGATTGCCTCTGGGCATCCTTGGTTGCAGTCCTTTGCGGACTCCCAGGAGTCGTACTCGGGGCCCAGTTTGTGCCACCTGACGAGGTACTCCGTGGTGATGCGGCGCCTGCTGCGAGACTGCCGGTGGGCGTGGATCTCGTCCACGTACCACAAGGGTTCGCCCTCAGCTGCGGGAATCGCAGGTGGGGGTGGCGCGTTGCTGCCAGCCTTGTAGGCTTTGAGTTTAGAGACGTGGAATACGTCGTGCATGCGCAAGTGCGCCGGGAGCTGTAGTCGAACCGCGGCTTCGCCCACCTTGGCAGTGATGGGGAAGGGGCCGATGTAGCGTGGCATGAACTTGCCAAGGCCTTTCGTGTTGGGTGCCCGGAACGTGAAGTTCTTGGTGCTCAGCAGGACTTGCTGTCCAACCTCAAACTGGGCTTCGCGGCGCGTTTTGTCCGCGTATTTGGCT